GAGGGCATGTTGAAAGGATACAGAAGCCAGCCTGAATTAGCTTCTTAATAAGTGTAGACAAATGGGGAGAATGAAAACTCACTGTTAGAACATTACAATAATCGTTGCTGTAATCAAGATCTACCAATGAATGCTAAATTGATGGGTGGAAAGTTTGATAAACAGGATCTGTAGAGTCCCACTGTATCTTCTCTAATATATTTTTAATTATAAAGGGGAAAATCATAACTTTATAATGGGGAAACCCAGCAGAAAGCACCTTAATCAAGAGATCAGGGTTAACCCCCCACTCCATAATTAGACAAACTACCATGCATCTCCTGATAACACTGCAGTGAGAAGAGCACCTCACCTCTTGATGTTCTCCCCAAAATCCATCATCTTAATCCAGTCATGAGAAAACACCAGGCAAAACCAGACTGAGGGACAAAATATGTGACCTCTGCAGTTCGTGGTAAGGGAAGACCCAAAGGACAGTTATAAATTGGAGAAGCCTAAGGAGGCCCAACCACTAAATGCATTGTGGAATCCAGAACTGAGAGGGCACACTTGTGCAAAACTGGTGCTGTCTGAATAAGGTACACGGTTTACTTAATAGTACTGAGTCAGTGTTACTTTCTTAGGTTTGATAATTTTACTAATATAGTTATAAGAAATGTTAGCATTAGGGGAAATTGGGTGAAGGGCAAAGGGAATTGTCCTTCCTGTATTGTTGCAGCTCTTCTGGAAATCTAAAATTATTCCATAATTGAAAGTTAAGTAATACTGAAGTGAGTCCAACATTATATGGTGTAAGTTTTATGGCGGAAAACAGGACACAAAATGAGGGATATAGCAGCCGTCATTTTATGTATTAACTTGCACGTCAGAGGTAGAGAATGCATGAAGCTGAATGGTGTTTCCTTCTGAGCAAGCCCAGGCCAGATCTAAGAGGACTGCCCAAGTTACTATTTCTCCAAAAGTCAGATGATGACATGGGGTCTTACCCTCTGTTGTTAGGAGGTTCTCTTGTGTGTTTGCATAGTGGTTGACACATGTACACACTCCAGTGTTGAATGAAGGAATGAATGAATTTGGTTGGTGTGATGAAACACCCATTACATTTGAATAAAAAGCGCTAAGTCCGGCCCAGCTATGACATTTCCGAATTGCATCCCTCTTGCTCACCCCTCACTGCACTCTTAAATGCCGTTAAGCAGAAAGCTGCAGATTGTGAATGAAGCAAATTAGCTAGGTTCCTGTGAAGAAATAAAAGAGCTTTTATTTTTAAGTGCCTTTCCATTGCCACTTCTTAAACCTGGCAATTATTAACTTGCTCAGAAATAGCTGCATATCACAGTGCTGGGGAAGGACATAAAGCTGGTGGCTAACAGGGAGGGCTCAGTAGTTACACTTGGTTTCTATTCCAGTTCTTTAGTCTTTACCAAGATACTTAACTTTCTACTCTCATTTTTTCCTAAAGTAAGGATACCTCATAGGGTTATTAAGGAGAAATCCTCTTTGTAGAACTTAGTTCAGGTTCTGGCACAAAGTAAGCACTTATGAAAGAGAAGATCACCACATAGTCATTGAGCAAGCCTTTATTGAATAGCTGCTGTCTACAACTGCATGCTAAGTGCTGGGAGTACAGATATGTATTATTTCTCCCTTTCCTGCTCTACTCAGAAGAAATTTAATCTGATGGGGAAAACAGATAAGTAAAACAATAAGAATTACTCTTCTCCTATTGAGTAGCTTACTCAATACATTTCAGTAGCATGCCTAAAGCATTATATAGTATCTACTTACAAGTGTTTTGTCTACATGTATCCATTCATTGTAACTTACACACACTCAAAATAACTTGATGAAGTTTAGATATTGTCTCCACTTTGCAAATGAAGAAACCAAAACTTTAAGAAGTAATTTGCCCAAGATCACACAGCTAAACGGACAACACAGGATCTGATCCTAATCTACCAACTCCAAAGTCTCCTTAGTCCATACCTCATATGATTACAAGTGCAATGTTTAAATGCTTTAACAAGATTATAGAAGATATCTGGGGTGCCTGGGTGGCTCAGTCAGTAACCATCTGACTCTTGATCTCCACTCAGGTCTTGATCTCATGGTCGTGAGTTCAAGCCCCATGTCAGACTCCACACTAGGTATAGAACCTACTTTAAAATAATAATAATAATAATACATCTGCATATATGCTACTATAATAGCTTGAGTGAACCTAATTGTCTTTTGGTATTTCTTTTAATGTTGCTACTGGCTCAAGTTTTATTTTCTTCAGTTCCCTACAGGAAACAGAAATAAACATCTGCTTAGTACCACTCTCCTTATAAGTTAACAGATGCTTTCTTTGTCCTAGATATATAAGGCCACAGTTGAGACTGGGCTACCATAGGCACAGCTGTGCTTTCCTAGCTCTTGCTCTCTTCTTGCCTACGAGATGTACCAGTAAGAGAGCCTCAGTAGAAAGGAGGCCAGGCCACCAGGCCCCATCACTCCTCTGAGATGACACTTTCCACCAGAGTCCAGGGAAGGCCAAATTGAAGTAGTTCTATAATGGCTCTTGAGATAGTAAAACTTTACAATGCTATTTGAAGGTATCCTCAACTTACATGAGCTAAAACTTATCCTGTGATTATGGTTAAAGTACAGCAATTATTGGACCTATTTCAGGATCTCCAAATACACATCCTAGAGCTTCTGGTGTTTCTTTATGTGAGTGAAATTAACATTTTCCTCTTCAAATGTTATTTGAACATATAGTCCTTGACTCATTTGAGGGTATAGTTTTTCCAGAAAATTAGAAACGTGCATCAATAAGGACATATGGGCTATGATGTCATATGAGTGGTTAGTCATAGAGGTGCACTTGAAAAGACAAGACCTCTCTGACAGTCCTTTTGGAAAGCAGAGTGTAGGACTGAACTGTGGTCCCATTATGGAGGAAGAGGTCCCCATTATCTCCTATTCCTGAGTGCCAGAGTCAGAGCACAGTGTTGTTCCCCAGGTCAGGCTCTTCCCCACATACACCTTCATTTGTCTTCTGAGGCCTCAGGGTTCTCTGCACTTTTCTGCCCTTCTTGTATACTTTCTCAGAACCTTTCTCTCTGAAAGGTGGTAGTTGATAGTGACAGCTTCACAGAGGGAGTAGGGAGCTGACACTTGACATCTACTATGCTCTAGGCACTTTACATGTTTTAATCTCATTTAATCCTCATAGTAGCCTGTTTGGGTAGGTGGACTATCGCTACATTTATGATATAGAGATTTAGGTTTGGGGAGTTAAATAATCTACTTGAAGCTAGAAAAGTGGGAAAACTGGAAATCTGCTCTAATTCACCCTACCTTAAGGGATTTTACTCTGCCATGAGGCTGTGGTGTTGGAGATTGTGACTGTTTTTACTGTCACTACTACTTGCCAGTTTGTATGTCAGTGAGCGAAGAGAACGCTCCACCTATCGTATACTATGTGCTGCATCTCAGGTAAACAGAGTATGGGTTTATTTAACTTACCGATCCTCACAACAACTTGCTGACTACAGAGTTATTATTTCAACTTTATAGAATGGGGAAACCACAGCTTACGGTGACTGATACAAAGTCATACAGCCAGTGAGTCTGGCACTTGCGATTCAATCCAGTCCTCTTAGGACACTTTTTATTTTATTTTTTAAAGACTTATTTATTCTAAAGAGATACCACATAAGTGGATGGGAGGAAGAGGGAGAGAGAGAGGGAAGAGAGAAGGAGAGAGAATCTCAGGCAGACCCCTCGCTGAGCCCTGAGCCCTGCTCGGGGCCTGATCCCAGGACTCTGAGATCATGACCTGAGCCAAAACCAAGAGTCAGGCGCTCAACCAACTGAACCACCCAGGTGCCCCTTAGGACACCTTTTAAAGCTCACTATCCATGTAGCACCTTATACTAGCTGGGAGTAGAGCCAGTTTCCATCACTAAGTTCTTTCAGAAGTGTTACAACATAAGACAGTATTCCTATAACTTATAAAATGATAGGAATTTGTTTCCTCATAAGAATATGAGACTATGTGAAGGCTTTGCAAAAGGACACAAACCAACATTTATACCAAACTCGCTGAAATTTGTCTTCTGATTTTCATGCATACTGAAGGTATCTGAGTGCAGTGTTTCCAGAGCGCCTACTGTATATCAAAGCTGTAGATTCAGTATGTCATAAAAGGAAGACCACTATCTGTTTTGAGGTATAATGCCACTACACTCCATAAATGAGTGGAGTAATACTAGTGATGGGTGGCTTGTGGCTGGTGGGCCAGAGAGCCATGTTAATGAGCTATCCAAATGCAAGTCGCCTAAATCAGAATGTGTAGGCCAACACTTAGAGAATTATTACCTAAGAAAATACTGTACTCAGTTTCCTTAAAAGGTTATATATCTTGCTACTCCAGGTAATGGCTGCAAAAACAGCTAGTCACTCAGTTGTGTTTAGGTAGATATCTTAAAATTGTACTCCTTTGTTTCTTTCCTTACAGTCTATAAAAGATAAAGAGCTCCTGGGACACCTGGCTGGCTTAGTTGGTAGAGGATGTGACTCTTGATCTTGGGGTCATGAGTTCAGACCCCATGTTGGGCAGAGAGCTTACTGAAAAATTTTTTTTTTAATTTAAAAAAAGATGAAGAACTCTTAATCATGGAGTAATTGAAATTCTAAGATTTTCAAATTCAAGTTGGTTGTCTATACCAATGGATTTTTCTTTCAGCCTTAAAAATACATGATCTAAAGTCTTTTTCCAATCTCTCACTCATTCTCTTTGAGAAGAAAATTTGATTTATTTATACATTCATTCAACAAATATTTACTGGATACTTGATATTTTCTAGTCCTTGTGCTCAGTGCTAAGGACACAGCACAAGATAGACACCATAGTAGTGCCATTATTGATCAGCATATTGTAAAATTTATTACAAAAAATTCAGTATAGTTGAGAGTATAGACAAAAGTAACATTTATTTCCATCCCAATAGATTTCGGTTTTGGAAATTTCTTTAAAAGTGGTGAACTGCTGGCAACATGGTGTGGCAGCCCCCCTTATGCAGCCCCAGAAGTCTTTGAAGGGCAGCAGTATGAAGGACCACAGCTGGATATTTGGGTATTTCTTTGCTTTGCTGTGTTAAATGCATCTATAATGGTAATGATTGGTACTTTGGCCCATCTTTGAAGCACTTGGTACCTCTAATACATAGGTAGTAGTTCATACTTTCCCTGTTCACTGGACTGTAATTAGAGTATTTGGAATTAGGTTCTAGGAAAGAACTTCTAGGGACAGATGTTATTCCTTTAATATTGGCAATAATGTAAAGTTAAGTAGTAATCAAAATGATTAAATTCCAATCCTTGAGTATTTATTATAGGATATTTTATTGTAGTATTTGGTTTTTTGGTTTGGGGGTTTTTTGTTGTTGTTGTTGTTTTGTTTTGTTTTTTTTCAAATTCTGGGAAAATAGTAAATCCAAACAGGAATTTTTTAGCCACATGATTTTAAGGGCCATGGGGTTGTTTAGGAAAACAAAGAGTGTTTAAAGCCCTCAGTGGAAAAGTGACTGCATCGTTTTCTTCTCTAGAGCATGGGAGTTGTTCTTTACGTCCTTGTCTGTGGAGCTCTGCCTTTTGATGGACCGACTCTTCCAATTTTGAGGCAGAGAGTTTTAGAGGGAAGATTCCGGATTCCGTATTTCATGTCAGAAGGTAACAAGCCTGTTTGTCTTATCCTTGTGCTTTACAGAATTTGTGCTCCGATTGAAATGCCTCAGGAAAGGCTTCCCTTGTGCTAAGAGTTTGGATGCCACACAAAGTGACTGAGTCACTTTCAAAGCTATAGAAATAAGCAGCCCCCTCCATGTAGGTGAGAGAAGCTGTAGCCTTCCTACTTGTAACTGAAAATGGAAAGTTTTCCAGGTTAAGAACGCCAAGTCTTCACATGTACTCTGGGTCTCTAAATGTCCCCAGATTATTTTAGACTTAGAGAAGCATTTTGTAGATAGATTCACAACCATTTTACTCTAAGTATGAAATAGATTTTCCCCTATCCTTTGGTGAGAAGTTGCAAAAGTAAATTTTTTAATTGAATTAACGACTGGTGAAGCTGTGGATTAAGATGCATTGCCCTGACCCCTTCCCATATTGGGTTAGCTTGTCACATACAACCAGCTGGCTTGTTGCTCAGCTACATTTACTCCTTGGGTTTTTCCTTAACTCTTTCATTCCTAGTGATGGTAGAAATAAAGCTCTAGTAGTTAGGAGCATAGACCTTGAGTGAGGCTGCCTGGTTTAACCCTGAGTCCACCACCTCCTGGCAGTCTGACCTGGACGAGTTCTGTCACCTCTCTGTGTGTCCGTGCCTTGGTCTACAAAATGAAATTAACAGTGGTTCCTGGAAAGAGCGCTGTGAAGATTGATGGATGTCATCTGTGTAAGGCACCGTGCATGGTGCCCAGCACATAGCAGAGGTTTCTGAGGCTAGCCTGTGCGAGGTAGTAGAGAGCATGGAGCAGCTCCAAGAGTAAATGGGTGCCCAAGTCACAGCAGCGCAGTTTTTGTAACATAACCAGAAGTAACTAGTGCTTCCTGTGTGTGTTTCCAGCTGCACTGATGAGGGAAGAGCAGCCATCCACTGGAGAGCTCTTGCCTCACTCATGCAGCCTTCATTATATCAGCCTCAGAAGTGACTGAGGATCCAGTTATGTGCTCGTTCTAGGGAGAAGGCTTGCTTTTTGTCTTCACCAGAATCTAAGTCTTTGTCTAGATCTTTTCATTGAGAAATTCAATAGAAGTTTCATTTAGCACAAAATTAGGCAGATCTACACCCTTCTGATTTTCTTAAGTATTCATTCACAATGACGGTTACTTTTGTGTCAACATTCACCATGTGAATCTGACAAATACAACTGGCTTTCATGTGTTCATTTATTTACCTTCTGCTTTCCAGTGGGCACTGTGGAGGATACAAAGATCAGTGCCATTGTGCAAAGTCACATGAGTCAAGCCAGTACCCTGAAGTGCAAGGTGATTTACATGACTTTTCTAACATTGTGTTTTCCGTAGATTGTGAGCACCTTATTCGAAGGATGTTGGTCCTAGATCCGTCCAAACGGCTAACTATAGCTCAAATCAAGGAGCATAAATGGATGCTCATAGAAGTTCCTGTACAGAGACCTGTTCTCTATCCACAAGGGCAAGAAAACGAGCCATCCATTGGGGAATTTAATGAACAGGTTCTGCGATTGATGCACAGCCTTGGAATAGATCAGCAAAAAACCATTGAGGTAAGGTGATCAGAGATTTGACTGAAGATATTTTAGGATTCTTTTGTGCTTAGTAACTTGAAAGTTTGTGCTCATACCCATCATCCTGGGTCTTTCAGCATGGCCACCCCCCAGCACCCACTGTTCAGTTTTCCCTGGGGATTATAGTCACATCTATTCCATGTTTGCTTTTTTTATTCAGTATATAAATTCCCCCCTTTGCCCCATCTGCCAAAAAATTTAAGAGGTGGAGTTTATATAGGATTGGGAAAAAACAAAGATGGAAACTTAAATACAAAGTAGAAAATTTCTTCTAGGATGAGGCATGAAGTTTTATGCAGGTCATAAGCTAGTTGGTATGGAATATAAATGTACAGCTAGGGAATGAGGCCAAGGGCTGAACAGGAAACAAGAAGAGCAGGCACCGGGTTTAGGAAAGCCATTGCAGTTTAGGCTCTGAGCTGGGGAAGCTGAGAAGGCAGAAACAGGTGGATTCCAGATTTGGCAGTATTCTGGGTCATAGACCTGAGGGGGCCATAAGCCTGAAAAATTCCTCCTCAGTTTTATCTCTGTCCCTTAGTAGTTAGCATATTCATAGGAGAAACACATTTTCATTACCTCCACCACAGTAAAAAGCATACAGTGCTCTTATAGAGGAAGCATATCAAAAAAGAATACAAAATGACTCTTGTGAACTTAAAAGTGCTCCAGACCACGCTGCCAAGAGTGAATCCAGACCAGCTCTCTTGCTCTGCTCGTCACGCACTCAGTGGTGTGTTTCTGTTCTCAGCCATGAAGCAGATCTAGAACGGCAGCTGTGAGGTCAGCCCAACAGGCCTGTGATTTCTGCCACCAGGGTTCTGCATCTAAGCTGCCCTGCACAGCACCATGCAGATTGTCAGGTGGAATTAGAAGCCGGAGAGCAGTTGTTTCCCCATTTTGCTAGAGTCCTGGAAAAGCTGGCCAGTGAGGGATGTGAAAAATTGGGAAGCAACTTTATTTTCAAGGCTTCATGAGGGTGGGACTGCAAAAACAAGAGGAAAAAATTACCTAAGAACGGAGACTCAGTGTCTCTCGATCCAGCCTCCAAATGTTACTCTCCAGCCCAAAATAATCACCAGAAATTTCCCCAAAGACTTTAATCATTCATTTCAGAGTTTGCAGTAGTTTGGACTTGTGTTGAAGTTATGGAATTCAAGCCCCTGGGCCAGGTTGTAACCGACCTGACACTGCAGTCACAGCAAGGAGATGGGACCATGTGACAGCACTGGGGACTTGCTACATGAGACAACGGTGGCATTTTCTCTGAATGCAGAAAAACAAGTGGGGCCTGTTCATGTGAAAGGGCCAGTCGCTTACAGGCATCGCCCTTTATGTAATCAGTACTGGAGACTCGGAACTGTCTGTCTTTCATTCGGAATTCTGGAACAGCTTTCATTTTAGACGCACTTTGTTCGTTGCTCTACCTTTAAGAACACAGGATTTCTTCCCTCCTTTTCCAGAAAGATGTAGATCATTGGACTGGTTTTTATGCTTCTCTGCCCTTAGCACTTGTTTTCTCTTTCAGTCTTTGCAGAACAAGAGCTATAACCACTTTGCTGCCATTTATTACTTGTTGGTGGAGCGCCTGAAATCACATCGGAGCAGTTTTCCTGTGGAGCAGAGACTCGATGCCCGCCAGCGGCGGCCTAGCACGGTGGCTGAACAAACAGTTGCCAAGGTAACGCCACATTAGCCAGTGGTCTTATCTTGCAGGTGCCTGTTCACATGTTTGACACATTTTTCATCTTGTAGTATAACAAAGGGTTGTACTCATCCTTGGTTGATCTCATCCTTGACATTCAGCTCTTCTATAAAGTTTCTGCCCCTCACTTCCTATATTCTATGATGTATCTTAGCATCTTCCTATTTCTAAGGATTAATTTTATTTCAAGCAGGTTTTTTTCTTTAAGAGGCCTCTCATTTTTTAATCATTGACTTATGGTGAGAATGTCACTAGCCTATACATTCGATTCCATTTAACAACTTCTTATTGCAGATTTACCATGTGCAAGCTTCTATTATTAGGCACGATAGAGCATAGGATATATAAAAACTGGGCATGGCCCTCAGAGACATGACAGTATAAAAGCAAAGTAAGACATCATCATAAATAACCATCACTCAAAAGAAAGAGAAATCCAGGAAAAGAACCAAGGGCACAGGCAGAGTGACACATCTGCCTGGGAAAGGCTTAATGGGAGAGTGGGCATTTGTGATAGATCTCAGACCTGTGAGGATGTGTAGGCCTTTGCCAGGGAGAGGCAGTAGTTGAAGGTACTGCGTGTAGATAGCAGAGGCGCTCACATGTGCTAGTGTAGGGAACTGAACAGAAGCACAGAGGGAAGTGAAAAAGTTGGGGTGGTAAGTTGAAACCATGATGGAAGGGCTTCGAATGCCAAGGGAAAGAATTTACTTAAAAATCAGGGAATAATGAGGAATGACTGGAGGTATAAGCAGGAGAGTGATAAAATCATATTAGCTTTCAGCTAATTCATCTGAGACATAAGGAAGGGTAGATTGACCAGGGAAGAGAACTTTGGGGAGAGCAGGGAGGAGTTGAAAAACACTGAACACTTGAACTAAAACAGTGCTGGTAGGAGCAGAGTGGAGGGGATGAGTACAGGACCATCTTAGGTGGACTCTGAATGGACTCAGCGGTGGTTAAAGCAGGCACTCTGAAGCAAACCCCAGATTTTGCCCTTTTCCTGCTACCTTGCCTTCAAAAAGTTACTTAAGGTCTTTCTGTGTGCCTCAGTTTCCCAAACTACAGAATGGGGAATATTATAGAATTTTCTGATGTTTGAATTAGTTGATAATTGTGCAGCACTTAGAACATGCTTTATAAATGTTGATTAAATAAAGTAATAAGTAAATCTTGGGGAGGAAGGGACAGCAGTGACTTGGAGATGACTCTGTTCTCTAGCTTGAGGCTGGGAGAATAAGTATGGCACTGACTTGGTTGCTTGAAACGAAGAATAGATCTGGATCCCAGCACAGAGGCTAAGGCTAAAGAGAGTTGGGGAATCATCTGTATAGAGGTTGAGAAGAAGCTTGGTTCATTCATACCATCTGTTAGGATTTCCATCTTCTTCGGTGAGTGCTTACTTTGTTCAAAGGGCAAGTAAGAGCAAAAGAGTTCTAACTTTGTATTTCTTATTCGACAGTTTTACAGAATTTATAGGATTTAACAGAATTTTGCATTGGCTTCTACAAAATATGTGGAGGCGGGGACCAAAAAAATTAACATCTTCTTGATTTTAGTAGGCAAACGGTATACACTGTTAGACACATTTTAATATATAAAATATTGTGACTATTGATACTAATGTAATACATGGATAAATTTCCAGATATTTGGATTAGAGTAACTCTGAGCAGTTGGAATCCTTCAAAGTTTCCAAGTTGAATGATACTGCTTTCAAGAGAGGAAGGGGATAAAATGAGAATTCCTAAATTGGGGTAGTAAAAATGAGATATAATGGTGTATCCTTCCCTCCCAAGTCTCTTTATTCTTGTTCACAGTACATAAACGAAGGCATGGGGTTACGTAAATGATCGACACTGGAAACATGCGAATTATTATTGCACATGATTGCTTTTCTTATCTAAGCTTGAAGCAGATTCCCTAAGAGAGCTCAAATTATGTTTAATTTGGCTGACAGTTCAGATGTATAACATGGCTTCTTATGTTTGATAATGTTTTTTATTACCAAGCACCACATGAATTCATTTTACACATTGACCCAAGTTGTCATAGAAAGCTACAGACCAGGACTGAAAAATGTATCTAATTCAAGTAGAAGTCTTCAGTGTTCCCTCACAGACTTGGGCGTTCTGGATGCTAAGCAACAGGCACCAGAGCTGAAGAAGATGCTCCCTTGCCTATGAGATTTCACATTCTCATGTTTTGTTGAACTTGTTAAAAAATAGATTTCTCTGCACTTAAGGTTTTAGTAGAGCTTTAATCCTTTGTTCTACTCTTGGTTTAAAGAAGTGGAAAATCACTTCTTAGTTGGTATAGCAATAGGAAATTGGGGAAGCAACATGATCCCATGCAAAGATCACACGAGCTATGGAATGAATCACACAGACCTTGGGTTCCATACCAAGCTGAGTGACCCCGCAAGTCAGCCTCTCTGAACTTCAGTGTCCTTAAATATAAAACAGAAATAGCAATACCTACTTCATGAGTTTGCTACAAAGATAAAATTAAGTAACTTATATCAGCAGCTCAGTTCAGCAGATAGAGCACTTCTGTGCCAGGCCCCGTCCCTGCCCTGTGACTTTAGAGGTACGAAATAGTCCCTGCCCCTAAAGAACTTCTGGCATAGTTATAAAGTATCCATTATTACTATTTAGAAAACAATAAGAGTCCTACCTCAGAATGATTTAGAGTATTTATATTTGCTATATACTATGCAAGAAATGTTACATCTAGTTGACTACAGACAACTGTTTAGAAGAAATATGTGTCATGCCTTCTCTCGTGAATCCTACTAGTCTTTCCATTCCAAGTTTCTATCAACTGTAAGTAGACAGGAGTGAAACACTCATCCAATTTCTTTAATCACTGATTAAAGTTGCCCTCCACAGCTGTAAGGAAAAGCATCATACAGTTGGCCCCAGGGTAGCACAGACTGCAGAGGCTTAAACCACGAAAGGCTATTTTCTCACAGTTCTGGAGGCTGGAAGGCCAAGGTGCCAGCAGGATTGACTTCTGGTGAGAACTCTCGCTGCCTGCTCAGTGTCCCCTCACACAGCTTTTCCTCTGCATGTACAGAGAGAGAGAGAGATCTCTGGTGTCTCACCCACATCTTAGAGGGACACTAGTCCTGTCAGATTGGGAGCCCACACCCTTAGGACCTCATCTAGCCTTAATTACCTCCTGAAAGGCTCTCTATCCAGATACAGTTGTACTGGGGGTTAGGGCTTTAATATACAGAGAGGTGGCAAGGAGACATACAATTCTGTTCATAACCAGCATATTCCTGTTGGAGCAGTAAAGATTTTCCCATAGGAGAAAACACTATTTTTGTTTTAATGGTTATTCTGAAAAGCACAAATTCAGAAGAAGAGATTTGATATAATAAATATATGATCTAAAAAGTCATTACAAGCTGGCTCAGTCAGTTAAGCGTCTCCCTTTGGCTCAGGTTATGATCTCAGGGTCCTGGGACCAAGTCCTGAATTAGGCTCCCAGCTCAGCAGGGAATCTACTTCTCCCCTCCTACACACACACTCCTCTGGTGCCCTCTCTCTCTCTCTCTCAAATAAAATATTTTTAAAAAATAAAAAGTCCTTACAATTAATTGGATATGAGCATCGTCTTTTGCCACTCTTGAAGAAACTGGTAATGTCCACTTCCTTGGGATAGTAATCATCCATCTGCGTATTATAATAACATATTCTTTAGGCATGCCATTTGAATATTTTCACCCTACCTGAAAGACTTCTTTAATCCCTTCAGTGATTGTAAGAATCCTAAGAAGCAGACCCTTAAACCTACTATCCTATTTCCTATGAAGTGGTTGTCACAATAAAATGTGACCACCTCCTCCTCTCTCCATACCAAGTTCACAGTGAGTTGTTGCTGTAGTCCAGGTTGGACGTGAAATTTGTCAGGGAAAATGTGTTACGCTTGGTCTGGCATAGCATGATCCTGCCATTTAAGAAGTCACAGCTAATAAGAGGCAGAGACTGAAAAGAAACAGCAGACCCTAGTTATCATGTTAGTATCTCATTTCCAGTGCAATATCTTTATTTTTTTAATAATAAATTTATTTTTTATTGGTGTTCAATTTGCCAACATACAGAATAACACCCAGTGCTCATCCCATCAAGTGCCCCTCTCAGTGCCTGTCACCCAGTCACCCCCACCCCCACCCCCGCCCTCCTCCCCTTTCACCACCCCTAGTTCGTTTCCTAGAGTTAGAAGTCATTATGTTCTGTCTCCCTTTCTGATATTTCCTACCTATTTCTTCTCCCTTCCCTTATATTCCCTTTCACTATTATTTATATTCCCCAAATGAATGAGAACATATAATGTTTGTTCTTCTCCGATTGACTTATTTCACTCAGCATAATACCCTCCAGTTCCATCCACGTCGAAGCAAATGGTGGGTATTTGTCATTTCTAATGGCTGAGGAATATTCCATTGTATACATAGACCACAGCTTCTTTATCCATTCATCTTTCGATGGACACCAAGGCTCCTTCCACAGTTTGGCTATTGTGGACATTGCTGCTAGAAACATTGGGGTGCAGGAGGTGTTTCATTGCATCTGTATCTTTGGGGTAAATCCCCAACAGTGCAATTGCTGGGTCGTAGGGCAGGTCTATTTTTAACTCTTTGAGGAACCTCCACACAGTTTTCCAGAGTGGCTGCACCGTTCACATTCCCACCAACAGTGTAAGAGGGTTCCCTTTTCTCCGCATCCTCTCCAACATTTGTGGTTTCCTGCCTTGTTAATTTTCCCCATTCTCACTGGTGTGAGGTGGTATCTCATTGTGGTTTTGATTTGTATTTCCCTGATGGCAAGTGATGCAGAGCATTTTCTCATGTGCGTGTTGGCCATGTCTATGTCTTCCTCCGTGAGATTTCTCTTCATGTCTTTTGCCCATTTCATGATTGGATTGTTTCTTTGGTGTTGAGTTTAATAAGTTCTTTATAGATCTTGGAAACTAGCCCTTTATCTGATACATCATTAGTGCAATATCTTTAAATAATGCTTTGCCCTAATAAATTATTTCCCACATAAGGAGCAGCCTTATAAATTTAGGAACCAGAAATTAAAGTTCAGCTTTATCCTTTGATTGAAAAGTTGATGATAAGGGTAAGAAGAATGCATGAAATACACTTTATTAGGAAGTTTACATTTTACATTGTGACATGAGGACTTAAAATTAATTTAAATGACTAACGCTTGAAAGAAAGAAAAAGTTGTTTAGCTTCAAAAATATAAGCATGAGGAATGATAAGCTGTTTGTTGAATAAGCTATTTGTAAGAAAAGCTCTTGGGCAGCCCCAGTGGCTTAGCGGTTTAGCGCCGCCTTCAGCCCAGGGTGTGATCCTGGAGTCCCCGGATCGAGTCCCATGTCAGGCTCCCTGCATGGAGCCGGCTTCTCCCTCTGCCTGTGTTTCTGCCTCTCTCTCTCTCTCTCTCTGTCTCTCATGAATAATTTTTTTAAAAAAATCTAAAAAGAAAAGAAAAACTGTTTATCTTGCTCAGGATCATTCACAATGTACTTATTTTTCTTTTGTTTTTGCCATCCACATAATGCCAACACTTGGCTATTGCTACTTTATTCATTATCTCACGCAGCATATCTAATGATGTTAATGTTGGAATGTACCAAACATAAAGTATATTCTAAATATGTTCAAAGTATATTCAAATATACCCATCGTCGAAAACCATCAACCTAAAATTTTAATGAAGAACCATTAGATAATATCTGAGAACAGAACTATACATTTGCAGACTGATCCCTGTATTGAATCCGTGTGATCTTTTCATGACTTCAGAAGGAAGAAGGGCAGAATTAACGTTAGTGAGTGAAGGACCTTACATGATACCTTTTACAGTCCTGACTTCACTGTGAAATAGATATTGTAACCTTCTCTAGGTAAAGAAAAGAGGATTCAGAGAAGGTAGGTGCCCTGATTAAGTTCACACCGTCTGTGAGGGAGGGAGCCAGGAATCACACCTAGGTCTCTAAAGGAGAGAAGCTAAAAATCATACCAATATTGTTCCTTTTTGTTTGTTTGAATTTAAAACTCACCACCATTCTCTGTCCCTTCAAGTAAGTATAACAGAGAAAAAATAGGCCATTCCTCGCCTTTTAGACATTAGTATGTTCCCTCAGATGTTTGGCAGCATCTGTTATGTTCAAAAGGCATCTAATAAATTATACTGCCAGTTTTGAAGAGATGGAAGGAGGGAAGGATTATCCAATAGTTTCATCTTTAAGGTTAATCCTTGCCCCCCAAAAGTGTCAAGTCCTTGTCAGTTGTCCTAAAGAAAGATTCTCTGTTATATGATTTTTTTATTATATTTTTAAAGATTTACTTATTTGAGAGAGAGAACAGGAGTGGAAGGAGGGGCAGAGGCAGAGGGGACACAGACTCTCCACTGATTGCACAGCCTGACTTGGGGCTAGATCCCAGGACCCGGAGATCATGACCCGAGCCGAAACCGAGTCAGATGCTCAACCAACTGAGCCACCAAGGTGCCCCTATATGATCTTTTAAAAGAAGAGTTCGTAATGCTTATTTACTTAGCATTCTTAAAAACGAGACATGAAAATGGGCTAAAAACCATCTGGAGCTTTCTACAGTAGGTTGACTTAAACACAAGTTGCTCAGCAGTAAGCATCTCTCTTTCCGCTGGGCCAACAGGCTGTGTTCAGGCTCAACACCTCTTTGGAAGGAAGACGCCCTGTCACCTCCAAGTAGCTACTGCTTCTCTTGTCTTCCTCTGCACACATACCCTTGTCAAGAAGTACACGCCATCTCACCCCACCAGAAGAACAAAGTGCAGTGCACTTTGTGTTCTGGGTAGGAGTGTGTGTGTGTCTATGTCTGTGTACCCCCTGGTTCAGTTCTGAGCTCCTAGATACAGGAACTTTTCTATTCCTTGTATCTTTCCATGGTGACCTATTTAAGGATATAGACAATATATTTTGAATTAAAAACCAAAGCATTGAGTGAAATAAGTCAATCGGAAAAGGACAAACATTACATGGTCTCATTCATTTGGGGAATATAAAAATTAGTGAAAGGGAATAAAGAGAAAGGAGAGAAAATTAGTGAAAATACCAGTGAGGGTGACAAAACATGAGAGACACCTAACTGGGAAATGAACAAGGGGTAGTGGAAGGGGAGGTGGGTGGGGGGTTGGGGTGATTGGGTGATGGGCACTGAGGGGGCATTGGCGGGATGAGCACTGGGTGTTATGTTAAATGTTGGCAAATTGAACTCCAATAAAAAAATTAAAAATAAAATTAAAAATTAAAAAAAAACAGAGCATTCTTACAAAGAGAGACCAGCTTTCTTGTCTGTGACAGGCACCTCACTGTGGAATAGGAATGAGACAGACCATGCTTCACATCAGTACCTATACCATATACATATTTTGTCACATTTTTTCTGGGTTCCAACAACTATTTATTCTTTAATTGTACCAGAACAAGTTATTTTATTCCAACAATTTTGAGTATTTGCATAGAAAGTATTAATGTTCTCAAATTGTTCTTGCCATATTTTCAGGCTCAAACTGTGGGGCTCCCCGTGACCATTCATTCACCGAACGTGCGGCTGATGCGATCTGCCCTCCTCCCACAGGCGTCCAATATGGAGGCCTTTTCATTCCCGGCATCCGGCTGCCAGGCAGAAGCAGCATTTATGGAAGAAGAGTGTGTCGACACACCAAAGGTACGGGCATGTTTGAAAGACTGTGAGCTGCAGGTTGGCTGGGCCCTCACTTTGGTCCACATGTGTTGTACTTTGGCTTTGCTGACCTTTGTCATTTCCTCAAGTCACTCAGAAGTGTTGTTTTTGTGCAGAAGACTTGAAAAAAAATATCCGGGCTACATTTGGCTCTCATCGTCATCTTATCATAATGGCTGTCGTGTGACTTGTCAGACCTTATACATACTTTACAAAATTTTTCTTTCCCCTCCCTCAACCAGTTCCTTCCCTCTTCATGTTTCTAGATCCCTCATAGGTGTGGGATTACAAAAAAATTGTAATTCTGAAAACAGACATCTAATTTTTGTTCTGAGTCGGGCTTTGTTATTATTGCCTCTTTTCTGCACATGTGCTACAGATAAAAAGTGACAGGCCATCTTTTTTTGTTCAGTGGGGTTCTTTGTCCAGTTTGAGTATACATAAAGGAGATTATTTTTGTGTACTGCATGAAGTTGGCTTTTAATACATAGAAGATGACAGCTTCTCATTTAAGGGATACTTATTAACTTCTAATCCATGTTTTATATACTTAGCATCAAGTGGTGTCCCGAAGCTTGTATCAATGGGCAGACTTTAGAATGTGTTCAAGGATAGATTCCATTCTTCACTAGCTGTGTGAACTTGGGCAAGGTGACTGCTTTGAACCGCTGTGCTCTGTAAAGTAAGAACACCCAACTCTGTGAGACTCTTGGGAGGATTAATTGAGATAATGTGTGTGAGGTTCTGGACATACTGTAAACACACATTATTGATTTCCTGTCTTTTTAGCTGCTTTGGGTAATAAAAGTATAACTCAGACATGAATTCTGCCTCCAGATTTATAGTTTATCAGAGGAGACATGATGGGTAACTAAAGACAATGTCCCAGGTGTTGGATAAACTGATAAGATATAATCAGTCCCTTAAAGAGATATAAATCAAAGTGCTACAAGTCTGGATGGAGGCAGGGGAAGTTGCTTTTAGATGATTTCATCAGGAAAGTCTAGGTTACCTGTCAGAGCTGGGGATTGAGAGGTGGGCAAAATAGGGGTGGATAGCATCTTGGTGGGGGGGAAAGCCTGAGCAAGCAAACACCAGGGAAGCTTAGGTCCACCTTCCTAAGAACAATAACTCAGTGTGTGTATGCGGGAAAGGGCAGATGAAGGGAAGTCGTATGAAGTAAAGATGAGAAGCTTGGCTTTGAATGGCAAGTCCAAGAATACAGGCTTTTTCTCTGGGCTCTGGTCCTCAACAAAAGAGTGTATTCCAGTATCATCAAAAGAGGGTTTCACAGGAACTTCAGTGAAGAAATAAGTGAAGGAAGTGAAAGGTTTTGATCAAGGAAGCCCTCAAACCCACATTGTGCTTCAGAAGTTATCCGGGAAGGTGGGGATAGGGATGGTGTAAGCTTAGAGTATGTGGAGAGCTGATTCAGAGGTTAGGTAATGTGTTTGGCTAAACTGTAGTCAAGACAGCTTGAGGCCAGGCTGCACAAGCAGGTGTTGGGCTGAGTTGCTGACGGCGAAGAGTTAATGTCCATGTCCCTGAGGACATGGCCGCTTCCTGTGGATAGTGTGTTTTTCTCTGCCTGTGGTTGCCTATAGGATGTTCAGTAACCTCATCTACTTCAACATTCTCACCTAGAAATTTAGCTATAAATTGGAACAATATAATTCATTTATTTTTAAGATCTGATTCCCTTGAAACAATTAAAATGCATTCTGCTAAAAGCTTATCTGTGAGGGCATCAGGCCTGAAACACAGATTGGGCACTGTCTGCTGTATTATATAGGGCAAACTATTTTTAAAGCTTGTGATTGTTACCGTAACTAGGAAACAGACAGGAAATGAATGATTTTATGAAAGATAAAGACAGTGACTAGATGGTGTATTTGCATTTGTAGGAAGAACAGTGCCATGCTGGAACTGGCCACCCACAATGGTTGTGCCATCCTGGTGCTCAGCCAGGCCATAGACCTCTACTCATCCTACTTGTGGACCATTGCATTTATGTCAGGAAGAATGCTTGTCCCTCTTCCCTCCCTAGTACCTCCTTTTGGAGGTCAGTCAGTAAATGCACATGCACAGAGCTATCAGAGCTCCCACCCTGTTGTTCATACTGCTTCACACGCATTTACTAGGATACCTACTTTTTGTCTTCTAAAAGATGCTTCATAAATGAATGTGTTGTTTGTCCATTTCTACTCCCAGTTGTTGGCAGGTATTGTCCATCACAGAAATTTTACCTCTCCTTTTCTCCCAGAAGTCTTAAAACTATCAGTAAAATCCCTTAGGGAGTCTGCATTGAAACACTGGTTTGGGGTTCCTCTAAAAACTACCTTCTTTCTGAGACAGTCACCCAACTCTGAGCAGTAACTGAGACCACAGGTGACAGAGAGACCATGTGGAGGGGAAGGTGTACAAACCCTAAAGGGGCAATCTTTCTCTTTTAAGGGTTTCTTTGAGAATAATCAGTTTCTTTCCAGTTTTATTGAGAAATAACTGACATCACTGTATATAAGTTTAAGGTGTACAGTATGATGATTTGATTTACATATATCATGAATTTACCACAGTAAGTTCAGCTAACATCCATCTTCTCATATAGATCCAATAAAAAGAAGAGAGAAAAAAAAGTAAAAAAAAATTATCCTTCTAAAAAAAATTATCCTTCTGATGAGAACTCTTAGGATTTATTCTCTCAAAACTTCTCTTAAAGTAGCAGTATTAGCTGTAGTCATCGTTGTGCATCCCATCTCTGGTAGTTATTTATCCCTGGAAGTTTGTGCCTTTTGATTACCTTCCTCCAATTTCCCTTCCCCCCGCCCTCTGCCTGTGGTGACCACAAGTCTGGTCTCTGTTTCTATGAGCATGGTTTTGTTCTTCTGGTTTTTCCAATTCCACATCTAAGTGAGATCACACAGTCTTGGCTGCTGTGACTTATTTCACTTACCATAATGCCTTCAAGATCCTTCTATGTGTTGGAAATGGTAGGAAGTCCTTGGTTTTTCATGGCTGAATAATATTCCATTATGTACATACATATAGCACAACTTCTTTATCCATTCATCTATTTGGACACTTGGGGTTGTTTCCACATCTTGGCTGTGATGAATAATGCTGTTAACACAGCAGTGCAGACACCTTTCTGAGCTAGTGTTTTCATTTCCTTTGGATGTAGGAATAATGAGTTTTGTGTACACACACACACACACACACACATACGTTTAGTCACTTTTAACATTTATAATGAAAGGATTTTCCAGGCTCCTTCATAGCTGGATAGCTAACCTGGGCAAATGCAAGTGTGCCAGGTATGTTTCCTCTTAAATAAGAGTAGGTCTGAGAAGAATATACTTCTGAGGCTTTATAAATGAGAGACAATTAACATTTTACTTTTGAATTTGAATTTTTAATTTATAATTGAAAAAAATAAAACAATCAGAATCATACATGGAAAATTCAGAGAATTTCCATAATTCTATAATCCCACTACCCAAAGATAGGTATATTTTGGCATGTTTCCTAAGAGTAGAGTATAGGTGAGTCAGTAAGTAAGTATAGGGTGGCTCAGTCAGTAGGTAGACTTATTAAAACAAAATTGTATTTTATTATATGTAATTTTGTTTTGACTAAATATAACATCAGGAGTATTTTTCCCCATCATGAAATCTGAAAGCTTAAGTTAACAACAGTCTAATAATATACTGTATTTATTTAATGGCTATTTTTGGATGTCAGGTACTTTAATTTTTTTTGCTTCCTTAAATGTGCTTCAAGTGAATGTCCTTGTGTCTAAATCTTTGACTAATACCTCTGATTAATTTCTTAGGATAAATTTCTAGAACTGGGATTATCCAGTTCTTTTTCACCTGGTTATCTGTTTAATTCTCAGTGATAAAAAAAAAAGTTTTAGAAGAAAATGGTATAGTTTTATTCTCCCACCTTTAAAATTTTTAGTTATAAAACATCATCTTTGGTCAGGAAATAATAAGAGATATGGTATTTTAGTTAATCCTTCCTAGAAACTACTTTACACATGAGAGAAATTGAGCTTTATGGAAGTTGAACAACTTGCTGCTGAGTGGTGGAACTAAGGTTTGAGCCAGCACCTCCTCTGTACATGCCCAACTTGCTGGGCAGTGAGGATACAAATGAAATATGACATATTGTCCGAGTTCACTGGCTAATACTGCACATTGATATGTTGCCCATCTGCACTGTCGCCATAACAAAACACCCAGGCTGGAGGTTAAGCAACAGAAGTGTATTTTCTCACAGTTCTGGAGGCTAGAAGTTGAAGATGAAGGTTCTGACCACTTTTATTTCTGGTGAGGACACTCTTCCTGGCTTTAGAGGACCATTGTCTCTCTCCGTCCTCCTATGGCCTTGCCTCTGCGCTCCCTTGGGAAGGGAGAGCGTGTGAGCAGGAGCACACACGTACGAGCTTTCTGGTATCTTTTCTTATAAGGATGCTAGTGCTCCCAGGTCAGGACCCCATCCTTGTGATCCAAGTTTAACTATTCCTCCTTAGAGGTTGCATTTCCAGATACAGTCACCCTGGGGATTAGGGTTTTCATACATGAAGCAGGGGGTGGACATGGGAGTCGAGACACATATTCAATCCATAACAGTCTATCAATCTTTTGTGCTAGAATCTTGTATTTTGTGGTAGACCCAAGGGTGATAATCAACTAATGGCAGAGTTTTTCAGAGTTTGACTTTACATGTGTACTACCTATTGCAATGAGGTCTCTTACTAGATAGAAGTGATTGATTGAGGGGTGCCCAGGTGGCTCAGTCAGTTGTGCGGCTGACTCCTGATTTCCGCTCAGGTCGATCTCAGGGTCGTGAGATGGAGTCCCGTGTTGGGCTTCATGCTCACTGGGGAGTCTGCTTGGGGTTCTCTCTCTTCCTCTCCCCACCTCCCCACCATGCTTACATTCTTTCTTTAAAAAAAAAGTGATCAGTTGAGCTTTAAGGAAAGACAAAAACCGTGTATTAAAAAATGTCCATTTCACCTATGTATCTTGAAGTCCTGTAATTTACAGTCAGGCTAGATTATTTCCTAGAGCAAAAGATCTTATTTCTAGTAGCTTAGGTCACATAGGTAGATCAGCCCAATATTTGAGTCACAAAATCCTAGGGCTGAATTCGTTCTGTCCAGACCCTGGGTAAATCAGCAGGCAAGGGTGGCGTGACTGTCACCTGTTTCTGGAAATGAACTTAGAGCTGAAGGTGTTCACATCTAGTAATGATATATGAGGGCCCCCCCCCCAGTGCTGCTTTCTGATTTAATCATCATTAAACAGCATCTGAAAAACCAAAACCAGATCATTGTTTCCCACGATGAAATTGAATTCAGCAAACGTTTTTAAATGAAAAACATCATTCCTGTTGTAGTCTAGATACGGAGATAATTTGTAAGCAGAGACTTTAAGAAAAGAATGTAAATTTAGGGGAACTGCAAAGTCTTTTAAGTGCTCCAGAAAAGATGACGGTTCTCTATTAAGGAAAAAAAATATAACCTGGTTATAAGGCTAAACTGTAAGAAATAACTGATAAAAGTTTAACAGGTTATAGAAAGTATAAAGATGTTTAGTAGATATTTACTCAATGCCAGTCTTTTCTCAGTTACCTTATTCATTTCTAAATCATCCTTGGCTATTCTTAGATAACTGTATTAGTAGATTGTTAAGGAACTTACATGTATAAATAGAAGTTCCCCAAGAGCCACTGTTTCCTACAGCTACTGAGTGTCCAAACAGGGAACACCTACTGAGGGAAGGGCCGAGGGGAGAATGAGAGTCACTGGCCGGATTTCAGAGTTTTTGTTTCTGGTGCCATGTGGAGAAGATTGGTCTTAGTGTAGGAAGAAAGCATTTCCCTCTGTTTCTTTTAAATGAGCACTTGTCACTTTAAAACCCTGTCATGCATTAGCCACCTTATCCAAGTAGTGGCTACAGCCCCAGAACAGTTTTTATGGAATAGCTGTCCCCTCCCCCAAGCAAACAAAGCTCTGAGTCACCCACAGAGTCTCCCTCTCCAAATAAAGGGCCTTGCAGTGCCTTCAGAGTGGTTGCCATAAGAGGAAAGTTTTTCCTGTGTCTGGCACTGGGGTGTCCCACGTCACCTCTCACATACATGAGCGTCTCGTGCTTCCAAAGGAAACAGTGGCTCCAGGCAGTGTATTCCAGGTGAGAGCAGCACTTAGAACGCCATGTCTTATGACTGGCTGGTCCTGAGCAGCGATTCCCAGGAGAAAATGGATGGATTTCCACGGGGGAATAGTTACGGTAATGAAGTAAATAATTGCCTCCTCGCTGGGGCTCTTACCAGCCAGGAAAACTCACAACCACAACTCCCCTTTGTCTGCTGGTTCTGCTTGCCATTAGGTGGTTTGTTTGGCAGCTGCAGAGGAGGGCAGAGTTCTCACTCGCTTGGGAGTTATGCTGAGTTCACCCTGTGGGATAGGAGCTGTAGGTATTGTGTGTATTGCTGGAGGAGAGAGAATTCAGTGCACTGGTGCTCATTAACCTCTGCTGGAATTTTGGGGCTGTGAGTCATTTGTTATTCTATAATGGAAGACTTTGGCTGTTTGCCATTTCAAATTTTTTTCACTCCTTTTTGCGGTATCAGTCTGTCTTTAAAGAATTCTTTTTTCCATTCCCCAGGCACTGAGAACCAATTAAAGACTAAATCAAATGGGCAGGTACTTAAATTATGAACATAAAAGTACGTCTAGAACCCTCCAGAATGTTTTGTGGTTGAGAATTAGAAGAATGCTAGTGGCTACTCTTTTTTCTTAGCCATGCAGGTTTTTGTTTTTTTGTTTTTTATCTCATCCTCCCCCTCATCGTTTCCCTTATTTAAAAAAAAAAAAATAATAACTGGCAGGCCTCAAGCTAATATATCCCTATTCATCTGGAAACCACTAAAAAAATTGTTTATTGTAATAATGGTGACTCAGAGCAACATGGGAGGCAATGCCAGTTTGGGTCATAAAGGGCTTCTGTCTCTGAGAGCTGCAGTTGACTTGCCTTAACTTCTAATCTGCATGTTGTCATTAGTAACAAATATGTACAGTTTTATTATTTTACTTAATTTCTAGTTTGCCACAAGTCTTGACATTTTTTCCTCTGTGGGTTTTCTTAACGTCTCAGCAGAGCAGCAACTGATAATTTCCTTTCACACTGACATTTAGGTAAATGGCTGTCTGCTGGACCCCGTGCCTCCTGTCCTAGTGAGGAAGGGGTGCCAGTCGTTGCCCAGCAACATGATGGAGACCTCCATCGATGAGGGGCTGGAGACAGAGGGAGAGGCTGAGGAAGACCCCAGCCAGGCCTTTGATGCGTTCCAGTCCACACGCAGTGGGCAGAGACGCCACACTCTGTCGGAAGTCACCAACCAGCTAGTCGTGGTGCCTGGTTCAGGTAGGATATCCAGTAAGCAGTGGATTGAGTCTTCACAACACACACTCCTGCTCCAGTCTCCAAGAAATAGTCATGACACCACTTTTTAGAGTGCCACCTGCATCTTATTCCCTTAGGGACCATGTTCAGCAGGCTATAGGATTAGGTCTACTCAGCAGCTGCCAGAGATTAAAATGAAATATTTCTGAGCTAGCTCCCTCAACAGCCAAGATCCATCTGAGTACTGTGTGATCCATCAAGGACTCTGGCTTCTCTGGAGTGGCAGAGATCTTATGGGCAAAGGTTTTGGGGCATTCACCCCACTAATTCGAAGCTGATTAAATTGACATGTAAAAAGTCTCTGGAAAGGTATTTTGGTTGGAGATTGGAGATAAGGATGTCGTAGCTGTGCAACTCAAGCTGGTTATCCTCTGTATCCCATGTTCAGAGAAGCTGCTATTTGCTACTGGTCATCTCTCTTTTTTGGTTTGTTTTTCTCTTAAAGGGAAAATTTTCTCCATGAGTGACAACCCATCCCTTGACAGTGTGGACTCTGAGTATGATATGGGGTCTGTTCAGAGGGACCTGAACTTTCTGGAAGACAACCCTTCCCTGAAGGACATCATGTTAGCCAACCAGCCCTCCCCACGCATGACATCTCCCTTCATCAGTCTGAGACCTGCCAACCCGGCCATGCAGGCTTTGAGCTCCCAGAAGCGAGAGGCCCACAACAGGTCACCAGTGAGCTTCAGAGAGGGCCGCAGGGCGTCAGATACCTCCCTCACCCAAGGTGACTGGCCGCTCTGTCTCATAGCTTGTAAAACTCTTGTGTTGCGGGACTTGAGGGCATTTGTGGCCATGTTGGTTTCACACCTCCGATCACCAAAAGGCCTCGTGCTTTAAACTATTCAGTCATTCTTCTCTGTTTCAGGAATTGTGGCATTTAGACAACATCTTCAGAATCTGGCTAGAACCAAAGGAATCCTAGAGTTGAACAAAGTGCAGCTGCTCTACGAACAAATAGGACCAGAGGCAGACCCTGACTTGGCCCCAGCCACTCCTCAACTCCAGGACCTTGGTGGCAGTTGCCCTCAGGTGGGTGCCCTAGGCCCTTCCCACAGGGGCTCTGCAAGTACAAGTACTTTGTCCTGGAGGAGTGCCATATCACTTACAGGATTTACTGCAGTCCCAGAGCAAACAGGTCATTTTGGAGAGCTCACAGCCTGAAAGCTTTCCTTGTTGTTACCTCCTGCCACTGACGGGTTACACCCATCCACACTGGTCCCAGATGATTAGTACCATAAGGAGGTATAGACACACTGAAGCAATGTGTGGTTCCAAGGGCAAATGTTATATGAATGGCCTCTTACGGCATCATGGACCACCCTCCCCCCACGTATACAACGTTCAAAACAGTCACCCACAGAATGCGAACTTACAGCCTTTACTCTTGATGTGAGATGTGAGATCACTTCATTAATTATTAAGTGGATTAGTTGTGCTAAAAATGACCCAAAAATATTGCTGTTTATCCAACACATTTTATTTTGAGCCTATTTTCAGTGCATCAAGGATATTCTAGCATTTGATGCCCACACGAAGGTCATGGCCTCCCGGTGACATCAAGAGCCTTTGCTGCAGTACTGACTAGGTAATCGTTCACTGCAAAGTGATTAACCCTCAGCCTATTAGTTCTGCGAAGAGCTTTGAGCATATCTTACAGAGCTGGAGTTCCTCTTGGACATTTGCCAAGGTGCTTAAACAAAGAAATGAAACTTTCCCCCACATGGAGAACTGAAAATGTTTTCACACCCCTTGCCCCTCAGGAGGAAGTTCAGCAGCAGAAAACGGTCCCCGCTGTGCCCAACAGTGTGCGTCCTCAGCTTTCGCCACGGCAGAGCCTAGAAGCCCAGTATCTCCAGCATAGACTCCAGGTGGGACCCTCCCCGGGTACTCCAGCTCAGTATGCTCACCCAGAATCTGCTTTTCTGCACACAGAAACCTGTTTTGCTTGGTAGTTTTTAGGGTAGCTGCTTTTTTCCCTCTAAGCAGGTAGCTTTGACTCTGGATTTGTAGTTTCTAGAAACATGTTCAGACTTAGCCTCATGCTTATATTGGCAGCAGAGAAGGATTTGTCCTCAAGCCCCAGGAAACGAGAGTGCCACCAGTAGGAATGAGAAACCCAGTTTCTCTGCTTCTAATGTTGTGCCTCTTAATGAATAATAAATAAGATGGAAATCTCAAGCCAACAAAATTTTACTATTAGCTTTCTACATTTAATGCCTGAAAACCTTTACAAATGATACAGATCCCAGTTCCTTCAGCAGGCCTTGTGGCCTTTGCTGTCAAGATATAACTCCACACTGGAAAAATTAGAAAGGAAGACAACCATGAGCCACTTTTAACTCTGGGAAACAAAGGGTTGCGGAAGGGGAGGGAGGGAGGTGGATGGGGTGACTGGGTAACGGGCACTGAGGAGGACATGTGATGGGATGAGCACTGGGTGTTATACTATATGTTGGCAAATTGAATTTAAATTAAAAAAAAAAGCTTTAACTCCACTCTGCTCGTTGTTTTTCATCACTATAAGCCTTGTAATCCTCGAGGACTATGAGAAAAGGAAAAACTGGTTCTGGTCCAGACTGGGACAGCGCAGGCCTGCTGACCCAGTGCCATTGGGCCTCAGAGAACGAGCATCCACGCCCTCCCCCTGCGCAGATGCTGGAGGACACAGTTGGTCTCATCCTCAGGCAGACAGACGGGCCAATGGCTGCATCCTAGATGACATCATATTGTGCTTATACTCTTTTTCTACTTTTCCAGAAGCCCAGCCTTCTGTCAAAAGCCCAGAACACCTGTCAGCTTTATTGTAAAGAACCACCACGGAGCCTTGAGCAGCAACTGCAGGAACACAGGTGAGAGGGTCCCTCTCTTGGTTGAAGACTTCAGGATGCTGGCTGCGTAGTCCTCCCTCCAGCCCCTGGTGTTTGCCTCTCCTGGGAAACAGTTTTCAAGATGTGACTGCTGACATAGATATTCCAGTGTCCGTGACAGGTGGGCCCATCAGGAGGTGGCAGGCCGGAGTTTGCTTTCTTTTCTTTCCCTTCTAGTATTTCCCATCGAGTTCTGAATAGACAGACCTAAGCTTTCAGAATCCATGGCCTACAGCAGTGTACATGGCCATCCTGCAGAGAGGGCCTCCGTTGTCCCTTGTGGTAGTTCGTGTCCCCACACCGCACCAGCAGAAGCAGCTGGGCCAATGTAGACTTCCCCTAATCCATTAGCCTATGGCCACCCCCAGAGGCCAGGCATCACCCTGCTTGCACACACTCCAGATGGGAAACCAGCCTCTCGCTTCATAGGGAGAAAAACTCAAGTCTTAGGGAAAATTACTTAGGGTTCAGCGTAACACTGAGGGACCAGCAGAATCGGGGAGATCATATACCAGGTGTAGGAACCCAGACACAGGTGATTCCTACCTGTGTCTACCCCCCTACCCCCCCCTTTTTTTTCTGCTGCGGAAAAGAGAAGTGAGAGGACTGATCCCGGATGGATATAAGATTGCCATCACTAAGGAAGATGTGAAATTATGTCTTTTGCTGTTGCCCATCTAGACTCCAACAGAAGCGCCTCTTCCTGCAGAAGCAGTCTCAGCTGCAGGCGTACTTCAATCAGATGCAGATCGCCGAGAGCTCATACCCGCCGGGCCAGCAGCTGGCCCTGCCCCGCCAGGAGCCGCCCGCGCCATCCTCGCCACCACCCCCCCCTTTCAGCCTGGCCCAGTCCCTGAGCCCTGTCCTGGAGCCTACCACCGCCGAGCAGATGCAGTACAGCCCCTTCCTTGGCCCCTTCCGAGAGCTGCAGCTGCAGCCCCTGCCTCCGGCCCCTGGCCCCCGAGCCCCTCCACTGCCGCCACCGCCCCCACCACCGCCCCCTCCCCAGCAGGCAGGGGCCACCCCGGCACCCCTCCCATTCTCCTACCAGACTTGTGAGCTGTCTGGGGCAGCATCCCCTGAGCCAGACTACCCACCTCCCTGCCAGTACCCAATGGACGGAACCCAACAGGGCAGCCTGGCCACACCGGACTGTCCACAGCGGAGCTCAGGACTGCAGGAGGCCACCTCCAGCTATGACCCACTCACCCTCTCCGAGTTCCCTGGACTCTTTGATTGTGAGATGCTGGAGGCTGTGGACCCACAGCATGGCGGCTACGTCCTGGTGAATTAGCGTCGGCACTGGAGTGAGGCAGGTCAAGTGAAGGAAGAATGGGGATTTCTATTTTTATTCCAGCCTTTTAAATTTAAAGCTTATCTTCCTGCCCTCTCCTAAATGGAGAAAAATTAAGTTGCCCGACTGGAATCCAAGGGCCTGGCCAGGCACATGTCCCTTTCTCCCGGCTCTGTCCACCAGTCTTCTGGGGCAAGTGCTGGAGCATCATGGTCGCCGAGGCTCCTGCCCAAACGTCAAGTGGAGCAGGCTCTCACAGGAGGTGGACAGAGCTTTCCACAAGGAGACACCCAGACATAGGTTTTCTGTAGAACTACACCAATTCATTATTGAGGGAAGCCTCGATGGAAGCAAAAGAACCATGTGCTGTTAGAGATGGGCAAAACATAGAAACACACTATATTTTTCACTGAGGCCAAGCAACAGCACATTCTGTTAGGCAAGTCAAGAATATGTAATGGAATCTGATGCACAGGAAATAAAGGAAAATTGTGCTTGGTCACTGAATCCTAAGTTTGAAGCTGCTGCTGCAGGTTGTCCCCAAGACCACTGCAGAGAAGTGGAACGTGAGCTGTTTCAGGGGCCACTGAGTGACAGCTGGCACTGACCCCTGAGACTGGCAGACATCTCCACCTGGGAGCAGTGACACCGCCCCCCCCCTCTTCTGCAGGGTCCCTTAGGGCTTCAGCATCGTCCCCTTTAGAACCACGAGGAGCCCCCGGGAGGGCAGCCCTGGGCCAGGGAAGACGGGCTCTTCCTGCGGAGTCTCCTGCACAGACTGCTGGTCTGGGGCCGCCAGGCTGTAGAGGACCTCGAGTCTCTTTTAAAATGTTGTAACTACTTTGACTTTACACTCTGTGTTGCTAGTAGTTCATTGAGCTTTGTATATTTGGACAGTTTCGTATAGGGCTTAGAAATTTCAAGGACAAGAACATGAACTTCGATCTCCCATGTGAAGTGGTAGTGCTGTGCCTTTTCCCCCAGATCATGCTTTAATTCTTTCTTTTCTGTAGAACCAACAGTTTTCATTTATGTCAATGCTAAATCCAAAGTCACTTCGGAGTTTGTTTTCCACCATGTGGGAATCGCATTCTTAATTTCCTTAAAAGTTTTGACTTGCAACGAAACATTCAAGTATTACAGCAATATTTAAAACCACAAATGTGTTAACCATCTAGCAGATCATCTGCCAAACACGTTCAATGACTAGTGAAACGTAACCTTAACCCTTACAGATTTCTCATGGGACTAAGTGAGAGCTAGATGCAACAGCTCATCAATCATATACCTAGAAGTAACAAGGAACCCGTCGCTTGGACGGCAGCACCCCAGTGTTAGAAACCCAGTGTTACTAACCCAAGACGGTCATTTCTGTCCTGTAGAATGGCCTGTCCTATCAGCAGGTGAACGCGTAAGCACAAAGCATCACAAAGCACAAAGGAGAGAGACACTACGTTGATGCTGCATCTAGACACACCTTTAAGTCGCCTTTCCTGGTTGTAGTAGGTGTCCAGGCAAGTGGGGAGACATGCGCACAGCCCTCCAGTGTCGGTGCCTGGAACAGCCCCCCAGCGCTGGGGTGAGCGTCTGGGCATTAGTGAGAGGGGGTGCTGTGGAGGACTGTCGTTTCTGTGATTTTACAACTCCTGAAAATGTAGGAATGAATTCTGTTCCCTCCTTGAATTGTTTATTCCTCATGCTTAGGATTGATGACTTCGTGAAATAGAGAACATCATTTCATTCATGCGATCCTTTCATTAAGATCTCTAATCTGTTTTCAGTCTTTGCAAAATAAGCCAGTTATGAAATAGGGCTTGATTTGTTTAGACTAAAGGATATTTTTCCAAAATATACTACAGAAGCGCTGTAATGTTTATGAAATTAAAATGCCTTCCAGCCTGAAAATGGGACGGCAGGAGTGGCACTGGCAGGTTGACACAGATGCCTGCTTCCCTCCCTCCTCCCAGGCCCCGAGCACCCCCCCCCCCAGCCCAAGAACCCTGGGAGTGGTGACAGAGACTGGTAAGGCGGGGGGCGGTGGGGAATGGGGGTGCAGAGGAGAGGCTGGTGGAGGTCAGAGGGCCCAGAGCCAGCTGCAGGGACACTCCCCGGCAGTGACCAGGTCTGGGAGGCCCTCCCCGGGGGAAGAGCACGAGCCGCCCTGCCGGACCCCATGTCGTAAGCTATTTGCTTTTCTCATTATTTCAAGCAGAAATCAGTAAATTCCGTAACGATCCGTCTTTACTGAAATGTAAGCTGCTGAGAGGCAACTGGTGACAGTCGATCAAGTGTTTTCCCAGCCCTGTGGGATCGCCTCCAGCGCTCTGTCCCCTAACCAGTGACCTCGGGACGCTTCCAAGTGGCTTCCACACACACTCAAACACTAAGAAGGCTTCGTACCACTCTTTTTATGAGAGGCTACTTTGAAATAAGGACTTTCTTTCCAGTTTGTTTCATGTTAGCAGTGTGTACACTACTGTATAGTAATCATTAGCTTTATTATCTTGTAAACCAGGCTCCTCTGAAGAGACTTTGGTGAGATGAACGTGAGGTAAAAATTTCATTCGGCAAAAAGTGCAATATGTGTGGTACTTTATTTTTTATGGTCTTTTTTTAATCCAGGGGTATTAGTCTCTGCTTTGGGAAAAATGCACTAATTCTGCAATTTCCAGTTGGGCAAGTGTGTCTCAGTATTTACATGCAACTGATAGGCTGGTCCCTGTAAGGCAAATAGAATGTGTTAACAGCAGAAAGGTGTGTGTTCTGTTTTCAAGCCCCTGGGGAGCTACCTGACCCTGCACCTGACCCTGCACCGCCCTCCCAGTACCTCAGGAACAGAGAAGGGGGCAGAAGGTTCTCTACAGCTTCCCCTCTCCACTACCCTCTTAAAGACAAACAACTGGGGCCCACAGGAGAGGACGAGGGCATGGCGCTGAGGGCTGCTGCTTCCATACGAACAAAACCCCTTCCCTCCTGTATCAGACTTTGCCTCCTCGGAAAGAGAAAGCTGCCTCGGAAATAAAGACCTGCTGGGCGCGTAAGCTGTTCGAGAGTCCCTGGGGTGCAGCTGGCCTGCCCCACCCTCTGAGGAGGAGGGCCTGGGTTGGGTCCTTCTGGGGAGGGGGCAGGCCATCCTCCCTCCTGCCAACTCCAGGCCCCTCCAGCTTCGCCCCTGCCCTGCCCCCACACTGTCCTTAGCACTAAGAGGGGGGATGCCCCACTAGGAAGGGCTGGGGACATCAAAGGAGCGGGGTTCCCCATTCTCCGGGATACGTTCAAAAGCCTCTGTCCTTAGTTACACCTAAGCACCCTTTTAGTTGAAAGGAAATTCCTACTCCAGACCTCTTGCCACAACCCCCTTTCTCTAGAGCCCTCACAGCGCGCTGCTGGCACCACCGGGAGCAGCGATGGAATCCCTGCGCAGGGGGCTTACCTTGGCCGCATCTGTACCCCTGAACCGGGCCGCCCCTACTGCCTCCTCGGGAGCCACCCGAGCCGCTCGCTCTCTGTGTGCCTAGACATCAAAGGGACAAACTGGAGAACAGGTAGTGAGTTGGAGTCATTGCATAGGCAGGGGTCTGTGGTTGCTGTGCTGCTTCAGGACATTTTTACAGAACTTCTCTTCAGAGTGGTGTGTGTGGAAGACAAGAGCAGTAGCCTCTGCCTCTGTTTCAACACTGGACAAAGACTCTTTAAACGTATGTGTCCCACCTGCCCAGGAGCCCCAGGGGGGGTCACTGATCACAGAGTGCCCCCCCACTCGGCCTGTGGTCCCAGGAGGTGGTAGGGTAAGCTCAGGTGGGTGTCCTGCCCGCATCCCCTCTGGGACAGCAGCTTCAGGGTCACAGCCCCCTGCAGGGGAGGGGGGCAGCTGACAGCTCTGCCCCAAGTCAGCCTGCCCGTCTGCGAGGAACAACAACTCCTAGCTGGACCTTAATTCACCAAACAATTCCCAGGGAATCTCTTCTAAGCCTCACGACAATTCTGTGAAATTAGCAGGACGCATACAGTCCTCACTTTTCACAGTTGAGGACACCAGAGCTCGGGAAGTTCCGGTGAACTGCCAGGCCCGTGGGGGAGCCAGGACCAGCTCTGGGGCTTCCTGGCTTCTCCCTGGGCACTCCCTCCCCTCCTCAGTAGCACCTGACTCTTCACAGCCAACAGCTGTGTCAACAAAGCCCCCATCTTAGTTAAGCACGGGGGTGGCAGTGGCTGTGACCCTGTCCCCACAAGCGTCTTCTCCCCTGGGCAGCTACCCCCAGGCGGCTGTGTGGGAGCAGCCTTAAGAGACACAGGCCCCACACACCGCCCTCCTTCCAGGGTCCAGTTAACTACATAAGTTTAGGCTCACATCAAAGACGTCTAGTTTCTCCTAGTCACACAACCTACCAATTTCCTAGAGCATATGGTGGAAGGACACACACACCCTTCCCTGATTGCAAGGGGGCCGAAATGCAGGGCTCTGGCTCAGCACTGCAGCCCCACAGACCCAGCCCCACAGAAGGAGGCCCTCGGAGAAGAATCGGGAAAGCGGCCTGGCCTGCAGGAGGGGTGTGCCATCAAGGTCCATCAAATAGGAGATTAGACACTTTTAGGGATGAAACAATTAATACGCTTTGAATACTTTGTCTTCTCAGAGGCACAGTGGGTGGGTAGAGGGGCGCTGTAAAAATAGAAATACAAAAGAGCATCCTGGAAAAAGAAGGGCACAGACTGGAATTCTGTCCCGAGCGAGGAGAGCGAACTCAGACCCACCGCTGGCTGTGCGGGGCCTATCTGGTGCAAGATCTGCTCAGTCCAGGAAATCCAAGGAGAGGTGCCTTCCCACTACTCGTGGTGAAAGAAACCTGCCTCCACCAAAATCTCTGGAGGGAAAAGCAGCAGAAAAGGTTTGCTTCTCTTGGGGACTGCGATTTAAGAAATAAAAGTGATCAAGATATTTGCACTTTGTAGAAAGGGCAAGATTCTTTGCTTATTTCTGAAAGGGGGAGAGTGGTCTTTGCTGGATGTTTGGTTTGTGAAAAGAGTTACTTTTGATAAAAATCTGTAGTTATTTTTTTCTGTGTTTTTTAAATTACTAAGAGAAATTGGTGAGTTCAATAGCTTTGGTATTTTGAGTGCAAATCATAATAGTTCCAATGTGGAAAAAAATCAAAATGGACCCTGTCCCTCAATGTTAGGAAATTGCCTAAAATGCAGTTTAATAAATGATCTTTGTTATCAAATGGTAATTTACACGGGGTAATGTTCTGCGAGGAAAATGTACTGTTTTTATGTTTCCAACCTAAAATTGAATTAAAATAAAAACAACTTGTTTTCTAAGAGCCTGGGTGAGATGAATGTCAGATGGAGGTAGGGCCTTTACCTCATCAGGCCATGAGTGGAATTTGTAGAGTCTGGAAGGTGGCTGTGTTCCCTGAGCTCTGGTGCTCATTTCAGGCTACAGAAGGACAGTGGATAATATGTTCTCATTGACGTCAGCAGGGTAAATAATACCTTGCTCTGAAATCGCCCGAGTCCACGTTAGCGGCGATTGAACGCTGACGGAGCACAGCTAACCACAGCCTGTCCATGGGCACGCGGGCCGCCGCTCCCGGGTTCGCAGATGTGCTCCACCCCGGAACGGCCTCGAGAGCAGGAGGAGGGGAGGCAGTGCACCGGGCTCCCCAAGTTCAAGCAACTCCAGAGCAAGGGGTGGAACCCGGGCCAGCGAGACACAGCTACCACTTCACCATGTCACGCCCCGGGGGCCGCAGGAGGCCCCCCTCCCCGCCGCGTGAACACACGGCCACCCCTCCCAGGGCCACCTGCTCAGTGCACTCGGGGTGGACAATCCATGAGGCATCAGAGGCCGCTCTCGTACGGTCGCACGGTCCTCGTGCCAGACCCCGAGGGAAAGGGCAGTATTAGATCCTACTCTCTGGCAGCGAGTTCAACTGAGATCTGGTTTCGCTCAAACCATTTTGGTGGAGCCCATGCTATAGAACAGACGGCTCCCACACAGGGATCACCCACCTGCAGGTGCAGGGGTGCAGGTGGCTGTCAAGGGCAGGAAGAGAACAGAGCCCTCTGCACCGACTTGCCCTGCCCAGCACCCAGCACAGGTTCTCAGCCCTGCCCCCAAAAGACTTACTGGCTCTCAATTGCCTCCTTTTTTTTTAAGGAAAGCACTCAATTTCAGTAATGTTTTGCAGACTTTTCCCTTTCCCACCAAATTTCTCCATCATTTTTGTGTTGCCAAAATCCACCCCAGGGTATAGGCCAAAATAACAGACCTGCCAGCAGAGACTGGCCAACACTAGCCAGTCAGGCCCCTGACCTACACATTCTCCAGAACATCCTTCCCTTCTGTGACCTCTGAGCCAGAGGCTTGGCCCAGGTATAGGAAGATGGGGCCAGGGAGAGCTGAGCCCCAGGCCCCGGGCCTCTGATGGGCCAAGTGGGGCCCAGGACTTGCCAACAGTGCCCACGCATCCAGAGGGTTACAATGTCTGCGGCCAACTCACCAGCCCGCCTCCCTCACTGCCAGCGCCCCAGACCTCTGCTTCTCAAAGGGAGAACGCAGTCACCCTCCCCATCAGGGAGGCTTTGAGCATTTTACTTGATCTCACCTTGCTCCCCAAAGATGAGGAGGGAATAATGGGGCCTGAGATGCCGAGAAGGGGTCAGACAGAGAGTGCTGACCCTCAGGAGCAAGCCCATTACCACTCCAGGGCCACCTGCTAACTAGGAGTGGGGTCCGGCTGAACGGAGAAGAGCCTCAAGGCCTTTCCCAGAAGCCCACCACGCAGAGGACCCTGCACTCACAGCCTCCGCTGACTCTTCAGTGTGAGACCCAAGAACTGCCCTCTAGTCACCAGAGAAACCCAAATGTTGAATAGGGTCCCTGTGCCAGCAGAGTGAGCCAGCGGGCAAGCAGGCTGCTGGAGGAGGCCCCGGGGATGCAGGGCCTGGCCAGGAAAGCAGCGCCTAGCTTCCCCCAGCCCACCCCCTGGGGCAGCCACCCTGGCTCCAAGGCCCTCTCGACAGACTGGTGCCTACCCATTTCTTGCCAGGGATGGTGTGGGGGGCAGCAGCAAGCACCCCTGACAGTCCTGGGCCCTGGCACCGCTCCGAGCCCTGCCACTGGCCGAGCGCATCACCGCCAAGGCCCACTGTCCCCGGTGCTAATATGGGAACGCACGCCAGCTGATGTACCACTTAGGTTTGTTGAGGTTCCGGGCAGCCTGGCCAGCCCAGCCTGCGGAGCAGAAAACCCCGCGGAGACTGGCAGCTGCCCCGACGGCTCGTCACACCATCTCCCCTCTGCCTGCCTTGCTTCCACTGAACTCCACCCTGACACTGGCCTCGGATAGTGGTCGTGTGGCACCGATGAGATCTCTGCATGGGGTTAAGGCCGGCTGCCCATTCTGCACACCCGCTCCAGGTTAGGAGCCCAGAACCTTGCCTTGGACTCCGTTCTCGGTTATGAGTTCGGGCAGCGCCGGCCACGACAGAGAGCATTCACGAGAAGCCACATCCCACTCAAAAATGGGCTTTCGTCATCCACCTCCAACTTTCAGGTCAAGCTCCTGGGCATAGGGTCCAAGGGCCTGGGGGTCCTTCTCGGTCCCCAAAGTCCCACAGGGAGACGGTACCAAGAGAAGGCCAGAGCTCGAGGGCGCTGCTCCAGCTGGCCTCCCTGGGCTCCGATCTGTCCTCAGCAAAGGCCTCTTCCCTCCCAGCATCCAGAGCTAAATTCCGTAGATGGCCCCAGAAGCCCCCCGACTTCTCTCGGTGGGGGGCGGGGGGGGACACAAGGAGGACAAGCAGCCCCTCCTCACCCAGGAGCTGAGACTCCTGAGCCACACAATGTCCCCCGTCCCCCCCACTGCGGGCTAGTGGGAGCACAGGGGACAGAGGCCAGACATCCTCGGGGCCCGTATGGCTTGGAGTTTGGGGAAAATAAGTAAAACTGGAAAAAAAAAAAAAAAAAAAAAAACCAAGGGCGGAAAGAAGCAAGGGGTGCAGGAGGAGAGGAGACTCCTCGGCCGGTGTCTGCAGGACAGGCGGCTGGACAGGCGGCTAGATGGACGGGAGCAGAGGAAGGGGGTTCGGCCCCACAGTGCCCACAACTGCTATTTACGGATGCTTCCCCTGATGCGAGTCCCCAGACCTGCGCTCGCGGGGAGACTGAACGTCCCTCACAGCTGCTCCTTCCTGCAATAACAGGGCTGACATCACTGTTGTCAGGGAAATGGTGTTTTGATTAAAATCATGTGACAGCTACTTCGTGATTCAATAAACAAATCCCCTGTTAACCCTTGCCTGACAAGCCAGTGGCAGCTCTGTCGTCAGAGGCCAGGAGGGCGGCCACAGGGGGTGGGGGGGTGAGAAGAGGGGGCCCAGCCAGGCCAACACCACCAACGGGCGGCTGGGTTGCCCTGGGCCTGCGGGGGCTCAGCAGCCACGCTGCTCCCTGGCAGGCCCCGCGGGGAGCTGGCTGCTCTGCAGGCCCCGGGCAGGGCCCGGCAGCGCCCCCGCCCTAACTCTCCCTTCGGGGCTGCTCTCCTGGAGCGAGCGGCTGCCCCGCCCCCCTGACTTCCCGCGGCTCCAGGGCCCCGACGAGCGAGCGAGCGAGCGGCTGAGGCGTGTCCAGGGCTGCGACAGGGACAGTGAGCGAGGGGTTAAGAACGATTCCTGGTTCGCTCTGGATGACTTCCTGGATCACTCACTTGGCGCCGGCCCCTGACACGCAGGGCCCTGCTGGCAGCACTCCGTCCCCTCCCTCTCACCCAGGCCACTTTCCTACTTTCCTAGGGTCACACAAAGGCGGGGAAGGCTCCCTGAGTGTCGGGCCAGGGGGTTCTGGGTTAAATCATCCACAGCCTCAGGGGCCTCCCGCGGGCCGGGAAGCCCCAGAAGGCAGAACAGGACTGGGGGGAGGTTGGCGCCCCGAGAAAACCAGCGCCTCCCACCCAGGGCTGTGAGGACCAACTGGGCCACCAGGGCCGGTCCCCAGCTACTCCAGGCCCAGGTCAGGGGCGACAGGCACCTCATGGCCCGGCCTGGCGGCCCTGAACTTGTAGAAAGCCCCTCACTCTTTCTTCCCAAGCAGGGCTGCGGGTGGGGCCTAAAAATATGCGACTATCATTCCTGCTCCTCCGGTGAAGGGCTCCTCCCAGGCCGCGCTCCGTGACACCCAAGGGCTGAGGGCTCAGGCTGCGGGGCCACCCAGACCAGCCCCGCGGCACCTCAGGAAACCATTCTCATGACCTCAGTTTACATGAAATGAAGGGAAAGCCACGGGGCCTTAGAACATGCGTTTCGATGTCAGAGCCTTCACCAAGCAGCCCCACCCCTGCAGGCACGAGTGCGGGCGGAGGCCCGACGGGAGGTGCAGCGGGGCTTCCACACGCGGCGGCCGCTTCCCTGGCCGCAGCGGACGCCCACACAATACGGGCTGAGCCACGCGGGGCCCACGGACGGGGTCGCCCCACAAATACAGTCCTGCCGGTGTATTTCTCCTAGGATTTTCTTAACACGTGTTCTCTCTAGCTGACTGGATCGTAAGGGCGCAGTATGGAACACACACACCATACAAAGTGTGCGCTCACGGGCTGTTGGTGGTGTCAGTAGGCCTCTGGTCAACAGGCTATCAGTAGTAATGTTGGGGGGGGTCAGAAGTTATATGCAGATTTTTGACTGCACCAGGAAGGGGGGCAGTGCCCCTAATCCACACTGTTCAAGCGTCAACTCTGTGAGCCTCAGGCACCCTCCTAATAGCCCCAGAGCTATGACCCATACCAGCTCCAATTAACAAACAATGACGCTCAAATTCAAAACGTTTGCACATCTTCTCTAGAGGCATCAAATGGGGCTTTGGACCATTACCCAGTAAAAGTGACAGGAATGGTTTTGTCCTTGAGCTGACAGGACCACCTGAGCGGAGTTGTAGCAAATATGGAGGGTCTATAGTCTCTGAGCTTAGTGGAAATAACCCATTTCTGTAAGAGCTCTTCCCCAAGCACCCTTGTCCGGTGTGTGAGCCTCTGTGAGCCTCGCTGTCTCTGAGCCGGGCGGGGGAGGGGGGGAGGGGACGGACCTCGAGCCACAGGAGTGACAGAGCTCCGAAATGCCCACCCCTCAGAAATACTCTCAGGACGAAGGACAAGAGAGAGGACAACAGGCTTTAAAAATATACTCTTGGCCCTAAAAGCCGGCCTGTCTCCGCAGGGAGTTAGGGCGCTGCTTCAGTGGCTACCTGCCGGAATGCCAGGCCACGGCGACCATGTCCACCTCAGCCCCAGAGGAGGAGACCCAGGTGTCAATAGCACTTACCTTCCCGGTGTCCTCTCCAGGCCCTCTGGGTCTCAGGAAGTGGTTCTTGTCAGCCTCAGGGTCGCTGGGCTCCTCACTGTCCTTCACAGGGAAATCTAGCTTCCTCAGTCTCTGGGCCACCGCTAGAGATACAGACAGCAGTCCAGTAACGCCCCTGACCCTGACCCCCTGACCAGGGCACGGCCCTCCTCAGCCCACCTGCGCCTCCCAGCCAGGACGCCCCCAGCTGGGCAGAGCACAGGAACCTACAAGCGTGTGGTCCCCTGGGCAGAGAAAGCTGGTTCGCCCTAGAACCTTCCTGAAGGTCCCTTTCCCTCGAGCGCCATGGAAAGTGTCAGCTCGGGGCTCCCCCGCATCTTGGTCACTGCCTGCCTGCACACCCCCAACCAGGCAGAAAAGACCTGGATCCTTCCAGAACTGGTAATATCAGCTTCAGAGAACTCTGGAGAAATAAACTACTTGGCTTTTCTACCCAATGAGTAATTAAACTCATCTTCCAGATTTCCATCTCAACTGAACGTTATGTAATTTCCTGGAAACAGCAGGTTCACGGAGACAAACAGGCAACAGTGAAACCACCGCGGGTACAAGGACGGGAGACATGTGAGTGACCAGGAAGAAGCGGCAAGGAAAGGATGGAGGCAGGATACACAACAGAGGGAGACTGTCATAGAAGCACAGAGTACCCATCATTTCAGCCTTAAAGTAAGGGTACAGCTCCCTCTCCCCTCAGGTTTCCAAGCAGAGATGACAGAGGAGGCTCCAAGAGAAGAGTGCCAGGAGGAAAATCAAGTGTTAGAGGAATTTAAGTAAAGGCAAAAAGGAAGAATTAGCATATAGTGCGTTTGGCCACCCTGCCCACCATCCCTGGGTAGGACACAGCCACTGTGACTTCTGCAGGAAAGCACCAGATTGTCAATTCTGTGGCAACACAGTGACTAATACATAAGATTGCACCAAGAAAGCATTGCTGGAGCTCCACCACCGGCTCAGGAATGACAGGTCTGTCTCCCCAGAAGGCCTATGCAAGGATCGCAGATGCTTGGATGAGACGGCTCACAGGTCAGGCTGCCGGGCTGAGTCAGGACAAGCCATCCAGCAAAGACCCCTGAGGCCTTGGCTCCCAGTGGCCAAGCTGTGGCATTTCTGGGAGCTGAGGACTCTGACTTCAACAAGCCCTCATTGAAAACTAGACATTAACCAGTGCGTCCTTATGAAACAGGACGTACCTTCAGGTTCTTGTCTTCTTGGCAGCACACAGGAAAAAGATCTAGTCTCTCATACCTATGACAGGTCAACCCCACGCAACATAGGAAGAAACACTAAGGAGGATTCCAGGGTTGAGGAGCCCTCTTTATTGGCATCAGCTTGCTATGTAGGTCTCCACTTCACTTTCCTCATCAAGCAAACAGATGCCAACGTACATCTCAGGCAGCCATGTAAATCCTCACAGAACCGTGGCCAGAGCAGGGGACATGAAGAAGGATGACCCAAGGCTTAAGGGCTGCAGGATCTTTCTGCTGTGCTGAGGGAGAATGGGATGTAGTGTGGTACCTTCGATGACTTGTTCCCGCATATAACACATCAGAGGGACAGATTTTAGAGATTTGTTAAACACATTTTTATTGAGCACCTACTATGTACACCAGACACTGGTCTAGGTGCTGGCAATACAGCAGAAGACAGAAGAGACAAAAATCCCTGCCCTTACAGAGTTCCTGGAGCCGCCACTCTAGTGATATCAAGTTAGGAAAACTGATCCGTGGTTAATATGACAAGAATAGTTCCCCCTGAGTAATACAACAGATTCCCTATTGCTTGAGATACAAAGAGTGAATGAAGTCCCTAAAGGGTCACCCAAAAAGAGCCTCCTTAGCTCCCAGACCCATGTCTGAGAAAGCCAGGGCTCCTGTCTCCCCTTCACCAAAGTCTTAGAAGGAGAGGCCAACACTTAAGGGCTTCCCAATGGGTATATCTGAAGTCTAAAGGACATTTAAAAGTCCATCCCAAAACCAATGGTATTTCTAACCAAAGAGTAAAGCAACAGTTGTCCAAGTTTGTTTCAAGAATCAAGACAATAGTCTCTCAAACATGCAGTTCACTGAAGTGGAACATAACCTAGAGATAGTAAAAAACAGAAGAACCCCAACAGTAAAATTAAATGTTTATAGCATAATATTAAAATGAAAATGTAGGAATACATTTAATCCTTGGCCCAAAAAGTAATAGACACTTCCTATAAGGTTGGCTGGCAGTTTCAAATGCAGGCAGATGATGTGTGATTTAAAAGGTTCGGTTTCTCTAAGGTAAGACAAACCTGGAAGCATCTGGTCAAACTTGGTTTCATGTAACAATTTCATGTACAAAGTTAAACAGAACAGGACTCCCTGGCTCACTGAATGAAAGAATTAAAAAATCAAAATGGAAACAAGGAAACCACAAAGCAACATACAAGGAGCAAAAAATAAGCTACAATAAAACCTCATTAATTAGACCTCATTAGGACAAGGCCAGTTTGAGTAGGTGAAAAATATAATTAAATCTAAAAGAAAAAATATGTATATTTTCCATGAAATACATACGTATATATTTCAGAGATAGAGTAAAATACATCTTAAAAAAGGTGTGGCCTGTAGCAATCCCCAGGAAGGTATTTTAATACAACTGAAGAGTGCTCAGTAACTGGCGTAACAACTGGTAAAAGGGTGCTGCTTAAAATGGCTTCAGTAGTTCAGATACAACAGGTTGCCTTACATACTGTTATTTTGCTCCTGCAAACCCTTCAGCTTAACTCATTATCTTAAATTCCAGGAGGAATTAATGAGGTTTTACCGTGGACATAGCACAAACACTGCAAATGGTGGGTGGCCAGCATCACCGATTCTGGAACACTGGTACTGAAGCTACAGCACCAAGGACCAGATGTCAACACGCCGGACACAGAGCCAGGCAGAGAGCAGGAAATCCTCAGTATACTCTACCAGCACTTTCTCTACTCATCAGAAACATCAAACAGCAATCTTACGATGAAGCCATGAAACTACTGCATGTTAGGAGGCACTACATTTTATGTTTCTCAGCAGAGAGAAGGAGGGAGCGAAGTGTTTTGGACGCACTCACGGTGCTGCGCCACTGGCGCCCGGGTCAGTTTCAACAACACGTGAGCACCAAGATGCATCCATACTCCAGGTTTCTGAATGACATGATTACAGTAAAAATCAAGCAAATAAAAACCAAAACATCCAATACATGAACCCTGAGCTTCCACACCCCCCTTCCATGTGAGATGCTAATGCAGACCATCATGATCCAGGAAAATGTGGCTTTCCCTACATGCATCTCCATGTGTCTCCCAAATAGAGTGTTTATAAAATAAGTTATTCTGAACCATGTACACTGACTTTGGAATGATGGAGAGACACACAAATATATGTAAACATCAAGAGAATCACTCCACTCCCTGTCTGGGTCCAAACCCACCCAAGCTTGGTGGGAATAATAAGTGGCCAGGGCCTGATGAAGCAGTGAGATGCAGGAGCCCACACGGTGCCAGGGGAATCAGGAGGAAGACAATCAAGAAATGACTGTACCAAGTATCAGGAACTGGTCACAAACAGTAAAATGCTTCAAAAATAATTATTCCAAAAAAGATGACGAGTAAAAATCACAGTTCATCTTTAGAAAGAATCAAGTCACTGAAATTTGATCTCTTGTAAGCTGCTGCCATCTGCTTGGATGAGGTCTTGAAGGTTCTCCACTTTTTCTCCACCCAGTTTAAGAACAGAGGGACTAGAACTCTGTGATAAGAATTTAGTAAAAGTCCTTTCCCTCCTGTTCCTCATTATGCCAACGCAAGCACTGGAAAATTCCAAACAAAATCAAGTTAGTGGTACAGAAAGTTTATGAACCGCTACGTGAATATTAGTATGACAATAATGATGCAAGAGCATGAGACTCTGAACTTCTCACTGCAGTCAGTTTCTTTACTCTGCCAAGTTCATCGAGTTAAAAACTTTAAACACGGAAAAAAAAAAAAAAAAAAAAAAACTTTAAACACGGATTGAAATCCAAACAACAAATTGTTCTTCCACCAGCAAGAGTCCTACTTCTACCCAGCCCTCTACTGCGACTCAGAAAGTGGCCTGCTTCATGGCGGGCCAGGAAGGTTCTACCCTGAGGGGCATGGCATCCTAGCAGCCCCCCCGCCCCTGCTCCGAAACATGCATCACCTGCCCACCTCACTCGCTCACACCCCACTAACCAGAGCAGGACAGAACACAGAAAGACTTACCACTTATGGCTTCCTGTGCAAAGTATTTGACATCCATGTCCTCATCTTGACCTAACTTCTGTAGCACTGGCTTCACTTCCTCCTGCAGAGCACTAAAATCCAACAATATTGTCTGTGAGAGGCATCCTCTGGGCCAGATAAATACTACAATAAATACTATACTGGTCATTTATGAAGTTTAAAATTTAAAAAAAAAAAATTTAAATGTTTATAATATATACCTGACAAGTACTAAGTATTCTTAACCCTCAAGAGACTTAGCTCCAGACAATGATCTACACATAGAGCTTCGACACAAATGACAGTCACACCCTCAGAAATGCTTGTCCAATTACTTCCTTTTACACAAACCCCTACCTTAGGTCAAGTGAAAAATCACTAAACTTAGGCTCCGCTATTACTCCCCACTTAAAAGGTAAACACTTAAATCTACTTCTTAAATAAGACTAATATTGAAATCTTACTCAGTATCTAGAATTGGTCCAATTTTCTGAAGAGATTTGGCCACATTGAAACGGACATTCGCTACTTGGTCTCCTGCCATTTTCAACACGATAGGCAACATCTGCTTAGTGGTGATTTCCTGCCCACAGGCTTCAGACAGCGCCTTGGAAAAGAATTAAGATAGCACATTTAAAACACTTTCAGGTTTTGTTTTTTTGTTAAAGATTTATTTATTTGAAAGAGAGTGTGCGAGCATGCATGGGGAGAGGGAAAGAGGGAGAAGCAAAGAGGATCTCAAGCAGACACCTGGCTGAGTACAGAGCCCAACTCGAGGCTCGATCCCCCGGTCCCAAAATCATGACCTGAGCTGAAACTGAAAGTTAGACACTTAACCAACAGAGCCACCCAGATGCCCCTAACACTTTCATGTTTTTAAATATCTCCAAACCCAAAAAGCCAAATGAGTAACTTAAAAAGAAAGTAAGTGACCAACAGGAAAATGTTTCTAGTCTGAGCATCTGAATGAGGGATACAAGGTAACATTTAAAGAATTAAACCAGAATTCACCACTGATTTGAGTACTGCTTTTTTCCCCTCTTATTTATTCACGAGACACACAGAGAAAAAGGCATAGACATAGGCAGAGGGAGAAGCAGGCTCCATGCAGGGAGCCCGATGTGGGACAAGATCCCAGGACTCCAGGATCATAACCTGAGCCAAAGGCAGATGCTCAACCACTGAGCCACCCAGGCACCCTTAACTACTGCTTTTATTTATTTATTTGTTTGTTTGTTTGTTTGTTTATTTATTTATTTTTGAAATTTTTTTACATGAATTTAAAAACTGACATTTTCTCCCATAAACTAACTGAATTAATCAGTATAAGAAACAGGTTTCAAACAGAACACAACAGATTCAGATTTCAGAAATACAGCCCCAAATAACTCCTGTAGCAGTAGAGCTTAGCAGTAAAAGATGTGTAATACTTACATTAATGCAGAATAAAGTGGTCATTCTGTGCAAGTAATTAGGATCATTTGCCATTACTAGCACTTTGGGAACGATGGTATTCTGGGCCCACTCTGTACCAAACTTCTGAACAAGTTTCATGAGGTTGTTGGTGGCAGCTTCCCGGATGGCGTACACTGGCAGAAGAGGTGATAGAGCACATGGTCATGCTGCTCACATCATAAGCATAACCTACTTTACTGACATCATCATCGAAGGGGGCCCCAAAAAAGCTCTCCACAAACACCCCAAATTTACTCCTACTACAATGGCAAACGTGCTCAGATAGAACTCCTAATATAGGGATCCCTGGGTGGCGCAGCGGTTTGGCGCCTGCCTTTGGCCCGGGGCGCGATCCTGGAGACCGGGGATCGAATCCCACGTCAGGCTCCCGGTGCATGGAGCCTGCTTCTCCCTCTGCCTGTGTCTCTGCCTCTCTCTCTCTCTCTCTCTCTGTATGACTATCATAAATAAATAAATAAAAAAAAAATTAAAAAAAAAAAAAAGAACTCCTAATATACTGATTTGGTCTTTTATAGTTGAAAAATGTCTATGTTCAGGGTGCCTGGGTGGTTCAGGAGTTGACCTTTGGCTCAGGTTGTGATCAGGGTCCTGGGATCGAGTTCCGCATCAGGATCCCCACAGGGAACCTGCTTCTCCCTCTGCCTCTCTTCTCTGTGTCTCTCATGAATAAATAAAATCTTAAAAAAAAAAAGAAAGAAAGAAAGAAAGAAAGAAAAAGAAAAATGTCTATGTCCAAGAAAAAGGAGCTCAGGAGCTCATTAGAGGCAACACTAGTTAACAAATACTGAGTGTCTACAAGGTGGCAGGCATTACAGGAAGAATACAGAAGATACCCCCACACACTATCAGAGGAGAGAAAGCTAATGTCCTCCGAGGAGTCACATGGGTCAGAGTGATCAGCATGAAGCATATGTACAAAGATCGTGAGGGCTGGAGGAGTTCAGAGAAGAGAGAACAGAGGGGTCCAGGAAGCTTCAGGAAAGAGAGGCCTTGCTCTGGGCCTCGGACATTAAGGAGAATCTGTATAAGTGGAGGAAAGAGGGGAGGTATTCCTGGAGAGGACAGACACACATGGAGCAGGGCACGAGGGAAAGCTGTAGTAAGCAAGGCTGCGAGGCTGGACAGTCAGGGGACTCGGAACAGAGCACTGGGGAAGCTAAATTTAGAGTTTGTAAGAAAAACAATGAGTTTTTAAAGCAGAATTGTGACCCGATGACCAATGTGGTATTTAAGCAAGATTATTCCAGCAGCAGCAAGAACATCAGAAGAGAGAAAGCCAGCAGGGAGGTCACACAGAGGTCACTGTGGTCACCTGCACGTCAGCAAATAAAAACCTTAGAACCATTCGCCTCTTTTCCCTTAAAAGGTTTATGTGGAAACATGTCAGGTATCATCCGTGAATAAATGTGCGCTTTAACATCTAGCAACTCCCTGTAGGATTTATCAAGGATATCATAAATCTAGATAATGAAAGCCCGAGCTACTATTTTCTCAACAACTCACTGGGGTACACAGCAGCAACAGTCAGGCCCGCTGCAGCTTCCTTTCCCAGGTCCTGTAAGACTCAAACCTTGGGCTTGGATAACAAATCCAGGGCAGTGGGTGCTGATTCCTGTTTCTACTTCCCTCTCCAGGTAGGCCACCCTCCCAGGTAATAGGATGGACAAGGAGAGCTATCCAAGCTGCAGCCCTCATCCTGGACAATTTATAGAAAGCTTCCAGGCAGGAAATATCTACTCTCCCCAGTCCACAGATCCTTTGGGCAATGCCACTGCTAAAAATAAGAAAGGCAGCATAGCCGAGGAACTACATAATTTATTACTGACATGAAACCTGACCAACGTCTGTGGGAGAAGCAACCTGTCAGTGATAGCAGAAGCACTCCCCACAGAACAGACAAGAGTCAACTGCTTTACCCACCACACTAATCCCCTCCCTTTACCTTCAGGGTCTCAGTCTTTGGCACAGCCCCCTTCCAGCTCCTCCCGTAGAGTGAGGCTTCCTAAAGCATCTATGTCTTGTCTAATTCTGGTTTTTAATTTGCTAGAGATTTTTCTCACCTCAATGCCATGACCATAGGAAGGGATCTCAATGCCAGAGTAACCAGAGACCACACATGTGCTCTGCCTTGGCCCAGACCTCAGCTGTACTCAACTGTACTTGGCCAGATGCCTACTATGTTCTTGACTCCTCTCAATTTTGTGCCAAAAGAATGCCAACCATTCCAGAGCTTGGCCTATTTTCTCCTCTTGTTTTGTCTCTCTCCCTATCCTCTCAAGGTCTGATGGACTCGCAAGGTTCCTCTGAATGCCTAACACACTCCATATGCTCACTCTGATTCTTTGTCCTTTCTCCTAGAAGAGATAAATTCCCCTTCTAAATTCCTAAATACTGTCCACTCAACCTCAGAAAAAGAGGTGGCACTTTCTTCCTTATACTACTCCAGATTTTTCACAATATTCTTTATTTTTTATTTTTAAAGATTTTATTTATTTATTCATGAGAGATACAGAGAGAGGCAGAGACACAGGCAGAGGGAGAAGCAGGCTCCATGAAGGGAGGCCGATACAGGACTCAATCCTGGGACTCCGAGATCACGCCCTGAGCTGAAAGCAGATGCTCAACCACTGAGCCACCCAGGTGTCCCCATGATATTCTTTTAGTAGTTTAGTAACCAGGAAAAAAAGTTTCAAAAATGTTAACTGATCAGTGATCACTACAAAGTAGTTATCTACAATGCAAAGCAAAGCCAACAATAAAAAACCCATATGATTAATTAAATACAGAATTATTTCACAGCTGGAAATTCACTGATTCAAAGAATGTGGCAACACCAATTAAGTTATGCTAGCGTGCTGCTGCAGGAAAAAGAACAAGGGTCTCTTACTCCCAAATTGGAGGGAAAACATCTACAAAGTGAGGAAGGAGTAACTGACTCCTACAGACAGAGCAATCTTACATAGAAAGGGTGTCAGGAACTCAATTCTTTGTGGAATATTAGGACTTTAAAAGTTCCTCAGAATTTATCCAGAATGCAAGCTTTCAAAATAAAAATAATAATAATAATACATAGAATGACCCACTGGGATGTATCCTTCCCACTAATGTTAAATATGTATCAGAAATAACATAAACATTATTTTCCCTAAAGAAAAGGGATTTCTTTCCTGTGATTTACCAAACCTAACTTTCATTTAAAAGAAAAAAAAAATTGGTCATAAAAAGGTAACTTCTTTAGAGGACAAGAAAAAAGTCCTCACACCTTTTTTTAAAACACTGAAATTACCTGCATATATATGCTTTTACAAGATTTGCACATTTCTCTTTTACACTGTCCTCCTCACTGTCTTAACCTCATGATCTTCCACATGACCCAAATATGCCCTTAATGAAACCACCTCGGTGTACAAGCAGACACAAATATCCCACTCGTCCCAAATATCCAGGTGTAAGCATAGCCAGTGAACAGAGATACTTTCAACACATCAAGTCTATATAAGGTGTTGTGGAACCGAAACAGGATGCCCAGCAGATGCACCAAAATATGGAACCAAAGCTCGCCCAGAACACTGTAAGCCCCCAGGGCCTCATGTGAACAGCTGTCAGACCACACTGAAGTTGCCAGGCCTGGACACAGGGCCTGGCAGTGAATCTCGCTGGTACAGAGGGCACCCCACCCTCACACCCATCACTGCCTGGCAGACAGGAGGAGATACGCAGACCTGAGACCTTGGCAAAAAGTTAACTGCTAACAAGTTAACATGTAAGGTGGTTTTACAGAAAACATCCATTGCCTCGTCTATCTTGATAAGCAGCTTTCACTAAGTTTGTGGCACTAGAAGAAAAGGATTCTGTGATTGTTGAATTATATCATAAATATAAAAAGAAGAGAAATTATTTTAAAACATATTTTCTAAAACAGGTGTTGCACCTGACCCTGCCTGAGCCTGAGGCCTCAGCAGCAGCCAGGGTACAATTAAGCCTGCCTTTCACCAAAACCAGAAATCTGGGCCCCCTTTGTCCTCAGCAATAGTTGGCATCTCCTACCCCTAGACTCCTTTACCACACCACTGTACACCTCCCTTCTCTAAGTCACCTCAAAGAGGCCAAATAGAGAATTCACCCCACCACTGACCAGATGCCAATCCCTATCTAGCCCAGTCTATGATGACTAAAAAACTCCAGTGCCATGGTCAAGCAGAAGACTGTGGGATAATGCAGGAGTGTATATATAAAAAAAGTCTGAAAATAACATAATAGAATGGCTAAGAAACAGGGCAGAGATTGTTTAATGAAGAAAATAAAATTTAAGATTAAAAAAATTGGGGATCCCTGGGTGGCTCAGCGGTTTAGTGCCTGCCTTTGGCCCAGGGTGCGATCCTGGAGTCCCGGGATCGAGTCCCACATCGGGCTCCCAGCATGGAGCCTGTTTCTCCCTCTTCCTGTGTCTCTGCCTCTCTCTCTCTCTCTCTATGTCTATCATAAATAAATAAATCTTTAAAAAAAAAAAAGATTAAAAAAATTGGTAGAAAATAGCAATGTCAAACTTGTGTTCGTTCAAAGGAAGCTAAGTAGACTTTCCACAAATCAAACTTATTACACCCTAAAATTACAGTACCACCCACTTGGTCATCATCGGCTACAAATTAACCTTAAAAATTCATTCCACCTATGCTGATATTCCCCACCATTGCATCACAAAAACAGAAACCAACCTCACCTTTTCCAAAATCAGTCAACATACCATCAATCATCAAAACTACCCCTCCACCACCCCAAAATACACTTCATCACCAACCTAACAAAACCCCCCCCTAACATACCAAATTCACAATCCAAACCACCCCCAACATCCATAAATAACACCCCCATAAAACCCAAATCATCATCACCCCCCAATCCATCAAATTTCCCTCCAATCCACAATAAAACCCCCCCATAACATAAAAAACATCTCCTATCACCTAAAAACCACCTCCCACCTCACCTCGATGATTTCCCCAAGCCCATGCCACATATTCTGCTCTTTATTCCATTTTCATAACCCCCCCCCCCTTTACTAATCTAGTCATTACCACCACTGAAGGCCATTATTCCACCCATCCGACTCTCCTGAAAAATAAATTTACAACCCCTGAGTTACCCCCCAGTACAAAACTTGATCCAAAACTCCACTTACTCCCCCCAAATATTTCCTTTGTGGTGAATATCATAATAAACCCTTACGGATGAAGGAAGTGAGAAGAAGAAACAGAGACTCACAATTAAAGAGAACGTCTGGAATGATGGGAGGAAGCAGAGGACAGAGAATAAAGCAGGCACAAGACTCCAGGGAAAGTGGCCTCAGGAGAGTCACAGGTGGAACCATCCCGACCTTCCCAGTTCTGCTCCTCCTAGCAACAGGCAGCCACCCCAGTACAGGCGGTTTTACACACACCTGCCTCTGGGAGGGCTTCTACTGCAGGTGGGAACAGTGCTGGGGTATCTATTGCCTCCTCTGTGGGGTTACCTGTCCTGACAGTGGTTTTATTTCTTTGGAGGCTAAGGAGTTACTAACCAGTATTTTAAATGAAGACATGTCATAGCAAGTGTCTTTGAAAATAGTGACCTAAGGAAACAGCTTTATGGTAACAGATTATGAATAGGTTTTAGCATACACAGGATTACCACATCAGCCTTCAAAAACTTCCTTTTCATTTCAGGTTATGGATTTTTCTGAAGTCTTAATTCATTTTTATCTCTCAATTCATGTGGCTCAACTTTACATTTACTCATCATGGTCCACCAGCCAGGCCATACATAAGTTCTTGAAAGAATTTTATAAACTAACTACCTGATACAAAAATTTTTACAGATAAGGAGAAAAATAAGGATAAAATATACTTCAACCAGGAAGTTAAAGATACTGAACAAAACGCTCATGATTAATGTGTGCCACCCCCTGCCAGACAGGTAGGAGTCAGCTAAACGCAATCACCACCTGCCTTGCTTCCATACTCCCTCCACCACAGAGCTGACCTTTGCCAACGGCCCAGGTCTAAGGGGAGCAGAGGTTAAAAGAAATGATACTAAAACTGCCCCTCCCTTGTAGACAGCTGTTTCAGTTTTTAGCAAACCAGTCAGGCGCTCCTGCTTTCCACTCTGGAGAGGAGATGCAGGTCAGTCACCAGGGAAGAAGATGATCGTCAGCACTTGGGAGTGACAGAGGACAAACCCATGACAAGGTGACTTCACCTGACCCTGTTAGCTATTCACTGATACTCTGGCATCTGCTTTGAATTTTACAAAACAGAATGCCACAGACACGCAAGGGCATACTTCATAAATTAAATATGCCCAAATAAGCAATACAGATTCAGTGGCCCAAGAAGAAAAAATTAGTCCCACATGCTGTGATCCGAAAGTCATGGAAGGGGGAATCCCTGGGTGGCTCAGCAGCTTAGCGCCTGCCTTCGGCCCAGGGCATGATCCTGGAGTCCCGCATAGGGCTCCTTGTATGGAGCCTGCTTCTCCCTCTGCCTGTGTCTCTGCCTCACTCTGTGTCTGTCATGAATAAATAAAATCTTAAAAAAAAAAAAAAAAATGAAAGTCATGGAAGGAGGGTGAGAGTGGACACAAATCACAGAAGGTTAGCTATAAACTAATGAAGTGTAGGAGCTTTCTCAAAAAATATTCACGTATTTATTCATTCAACACCGAACAAATGTTACGTGCCTAATTCCTGCCAGGTTCTGGCAAGCACTGCAAGTGAAACACTCAACACAGCCGCTGCCCAAGAAGAGATCACTTGTCATCTCCCCAGCTAGATTTTCACAGACCGTTCCAATACACTGTAGCATGTGCTACCAGCAGAGGAAAGGCATATCACACCTAACACTATCTAGGGCACTTAATAAAAGAGAAAGGAAAGGATGTGGCTGTAAAACCCAGCACTGAAATTCTAATTAATCTGATGATCAGTTCGAGTAAAACTAACCATGAAACTTAAAATAGTAACGCATGGTGTGTTACTGTACTCTCTGGCCTCCGGACTTCATACTCCTTTCCTATATGATGAGGTCTCAACTTCCTTTAACCAGAATGTAGGAAAAGGGGTCTTCAGGGACATTTTGCTCAGAATATAGGCAAACAGCTGCCCTGTGCAAAAATCAAAGTTTTAGAGACACTAAATATCATACTGTTATTTTTTTATCAAGAAACCGATTATAAGGATGCCTGGGTGGCTCAGCGGGTGAACGTCAGCCTTTGGCTGAGGGTGTAATCCCGGAATCCGGGATTGAGTCCCACATCAGGCTCCCTACGAGAAGCCTGCTTCTCCCTCTGCCTGTGTCTCTGCCTCTCTCTTTTTGTGTCTCTCATGAGTAAATAAATAAATCTTTTTTAAAAAAAGAAAGAAACTGATTATATTCTACTATGGCTTTGCTTTTAGGTGGTGATAAGGCGAAATGTGTTTCTATAATATCTTTTTGTTAGAAGTTAAGGCACTAATGAAAATAAAAACCATTCTACCACCAACTAGGTCAGACCACATTTTCATGCATCTAAGTGAACATAATCCTATGAGCTCTGTGTGCCTCCTATGTATGACGGTCAATCTGCTCCACTATCTGAGGCTATCGTTCACTTTATGGAGCACACATACTCACCAGCTGGCCCGCCAGCAGCGGCATATACTCAATGATGGCCAGCCTGACCCTCCACTTGGCATCTTCAGCCAGCTCCACTATGGCAGGAAGGAGAGACTGAGAAAGTTGACGGATCCCAATCACTTCATTTACACAATCCAAATTAGAGATGATATTCAAACGAACTTCTGGACACTGCAAATACACGAGCCCCAAAAGAACACATGTAAGAATCAAGTTCTCTACCTAATATTCTCCTACTGAGGACGTAAAAACTGCCTTGAGGATTACATGTAATAATACAGGTAAAGCCTTTATGATCATGCCTAACAGACAGGATTACTCAATAAATGTCAGCCACCATTACAATTTTGATGCTACCTTTAAACTTAAATTAAAAACATTTAAAACAAAGATACATTAGCTTTAAAGAGAAGACACCAGTGGATATTATGCAGAGAGGATACAAAGACATTTTCAGGTCTGCATCAATGGCTCCCTGTGCTCATTTTCTGCAAAACTTGTAACTCCAAACCCAAAAACAGGAATTGTCACTGGTTTAAAATAAGCTACCTTTTTTTATCCTTTCATCCCTGCTTCGGGTTCTATTTTAGTGAAACCCCAAACCAAAACCAAACCAAATCACTGACTATCAAAGGCAATGGAATTTTTAGCCAGACTCACCTCATCCTTTAACTGAGCTAAAAAGAGAGGTAGAAGATGTTCAATGGTGTTCTCTTTGCCCAAAATGGTAGACAATCCCATAATTACAGAAGCTAGAGCTGATTTGACGTGTTGATTTGTATCAGAAACTAATTCCTAAAATAAAATCAAAATTAAAAGCCTTTCTTTTTTGGCAAGACAACAGAAACTTCCATACCTTCTCCAAAAGAATTTAAAGAGAAGCACTATTTCAATATTGATTAGTTGATCAATTTCCTAAGGCCATCTGTTAGACAACGGAAACCTACGCACCAGAAAGCATTTTGCAATCACAAACACAAGTAAACAAGGAACAGTGTCACATGAACGTAACTGTCCCAATCATTCCTTATCCACCTTCAAACTCAAAGAACTTTAAGGTAAAACAAAGAAACAAAAAACTGAGGTAAAGTTTACCTTGTAACATACAGGGCCGGGTGAAACAAAAAAATAACCTAGTTAGGTTTACCTTTATATAGGGCAGAATTTGATTCATAATTATGGTCTCTCTACCTTCAGTGGGCAAGTTCTCACAAAGTTCTGCAAGAGAGAAATAGAAAAAACTGATGCTTACATACAGTCATTTACGAGGAGCCAGGTTTATCAACAGTTTCAACTTAAATCATGTTTAAGCAAATAAGCTCCAAGAAGGGAAAATAGCTCTTATTATAAATGTACTTTTCATCAGTCTTGCCATATACACCAATCCAATCTGCAAAGGCATCGTTTTTACAAAAACAAGATAAAATGGTTATCTGGTTTTAAATACAGAAAGTAGAAGCCTTGTTGACAACGTAACATCCCCACACCCTGAAGCCCTCTCTTATTTAAAAACACATCCCACAACAAAAAGCACACACAATTCACTGACATTTAAAAAATGCCAAATGAATGATACATCCTGCAACATAAATTGAACTCCTTCACCTTTTACTTTGTGGGCAGCAGCTGCTCGGACTTCAGCTTCACAGTCTTTAAGTAGGTTCTGAAAGGCGGGGATGAGGTCGTGTAGGGTGATTTTAGGGCCCACAGCTTTCTGGAGCTAGAAGACAATTTGTACAGGTTTTAATGTAAACTAACAAGTTAACTAACATGAATGAAACAAACAGTGTAACCTTCAAGTACGTTCTTGCTACAAGCACTTCCAATTCAGAAGAATTAAGTCAGAAACTTTTGGTACACAGCAAATCTGTGGGTTTCAAGATTTTTTTTTCTTAGTACTTAAAAAACGTCAGGACAGTAATTTTACCTCTGAAAACTTATCAGCTACCATGTAGCGGACCCTCCAAGATTTATCTTCTGCTGCTTGCCGAAGCGTAGGCATCACCAAAGCCTCGAGGTCCTCCTGAGACAGTAACTGAGCAATGCTGACACAGGCTTCCACAGCTAGGAGACGCACTGAATCCTACAGGGAGAAAATTTCTTTCTGTTGGGACACCTGGGTGGCTCAGTGGTTGAGCGTCTACCTTTGGCTCAGGGCGTGATCCCGGGATCGAATCAAGTCCCCCATCGGGCTTCCTGTGAGAAGTCTGCTTCTCCCTCTACCTATGTCTCTGCTTCTCTCTGTGTCTCTCATGAATAAATAAAATCTCTTACAAAAAAAAATTATTTCTGTTAATCAGACAAGACTGAGGCAGAGCCACAGGGCAGTAGAGCATGTGTGGCATAGGGCAGTGCTATGGGTGTCCTTCAAAAGAAACGAAACAAAACACTCTACGCAGCTTCATGTCATTATGTCTTGAAACACACTTTGCATAGCAAATCCATAGAAGCAGAAACAACCTTGTTCTGGTGTGAAAGTAAGGTGATTCCCTTGGTTAGTGTGCAAAATTTTTATTAAGGAAAATGAAATAAAAGTGTAAAAATTAAATTTAAAAAAAAGAACATTTTAATGATATCTTCAAGGCCTTCCTATAATAAACTGTTGAGGGATTAAAAAAAATGACTATACTTGAGCAAACTATTCAACACCTCACAAGAAAAACAAGAGAATAAGGGTAAGGGACAGGAAGCTAAGTTGTCAAAATTCTCCATTTGCACTGGCAGTGATAGTAGGCATGAGATGATGACTTGGAAAGAAATACACAGAAAAACAAAATAGTAATTAAAAAAAAAAAAAAACCATCCACTGGATTTCAATGTTAAGAATCAGGGACAGAATAACTGAGGTAGCCAAGCCTAGAAAAATTCAGCAAAACAAATTTAGAAACGTATAAGATGAATGAACTCAATGTCCTAAATATAAACTGCCAAGTTTCAATGTGATGCCTTTGTGTCCCTGAGCAAGCAGAAATACTCAATTAGACAAATCAATGAAGAATTATGAATTGAGATTAAAGCTTTAGGAATCATAAATATGTAAGTAGAAGCTAAAAATACGTCAAGATAAGCACCCAAGAGGGACAGACCAAAACCTTGAACAGCATGTGTCCATATATGATTATGTATTTTTTATGTACAACATACACATACATATACACAAGAGAGATAGTGACTCAACTTTCTAAAATATTACAAATTTTTTAAATTGCTGGTCAACAATAATTTACTATATGCCCAGAACACTCACTCCTCTATCCAAATGAATAAGCCAAAAAAGGCTAGAACTTGGTTCTTGGTAGTAACTATACAAATATTTTTGGAATCCAAAAACAATGTTAAATCAAGGGACTACTATGATCTATGGAAATATATACTAATAAATATTTGTTAATCTCTTTTCCCCTCTATACCTGCTCCTCCTCCCAAAATCTTCTCCATCTCAGCACCACCATCCAGATACTAAGGGCTCAAGCCAAAAATCAAGGTCTCCTTGATAGCTCTTCCCCTCATCCCACGCAATCCCACTGTAATCCTAATGATGCTACCTCTAAATCTGCCTCTAGATTCTCTGCGCCTTCACTGTACCACCCTTGTTCATCATGGCGTCTTGTCTGGATTATTGCAGAAGTCTCCTAACTGGTCTTTCCGTTTGTAATCTCACCCCTACCTCTTACAATTCGGCTTTCACTCAGAAGCCAGAATATTTTTTTTTAATTTTTATTTTTTTTATTTTTATTTATTTATGATAGTCACACAGAGAGAGAGAGAAGCAGAGACACAGGCAGAGGGAGAAGCAGGCTCCATGCACCGGAAGCCCGACGTGGGATTCGATCCCGGATCTCCAGGATCGCGCCCTGGGCCAAAGGCAGGCGCTAAACCACTGCGCCACCCAGGGATCCCCAGAATATTATTTTTAAAATGTAAATTAGGACCCCTGTGATATGTCCCCTATCTTATCCAACCTCATAGCCTACCAGTCTCTATCACCCACTATGTTCCAAGGCTAGATGTCCTCTCCTGGAATTCTCTTTTCCTGGAGCTCTGGCTTTCTAGGAAAGGGCATGGCTGGCATTTTCTTCTGTGTCTCAGTTTATATTACCTTCTCAGAGTCCTTCTCTAACCAGTCTAGCTAGATGAATGCCCTATAATCACTCCATATTACATCATCCTACTTTATTTTCATCATAGCCTTTATCATTGTTAATGCATTTTTTTAAATTGTTTACTATCTGTCTTCCTTCATCAAAATGTACACTCCATGCCAGAAGGGCCTTTGTATCCCGGCACCACAACAGTGCCTAATATGTAGCAGATACTCAATAAATATTTTTTCAATGAATGAATAAGCCAGGAACAGCAATTCTATCAGTGTCAGATGGAATATACATACACATATTTGACAACTAGGCACTTAGTATTTTTTCTAATATATCACAACTAGAAATTTATGTCTCTTAACAAAAAATACAATCCCACATATGAAGTGGTCTTATCACCCAAAAATATCAAATCTAAATCTTATTAAGCCTCTAGATCAGAGATGGGACAAACACTGCCTAAATCCAGGACTGTAGCTACCTTATGTAAATAAAGTGTTATGGGAACATGATGCCCATTAGTTTACACATTATAGTGCTTTTGTGTTACAAGAACAGAGTTGAGTAGTTACAACAGAAACTGGTCCACAAAGCTAAAAATATTTACTACCTGGCTCTTTATAAAAAGTTTGCAAACCCTCCTCCCCCATACTAGATGCAACTATCAATTTGCAGGAAATACAGAGGACAAATGAAATATTAAATTATACCATGAGAAGCATAAATCAACAAATTCCTAAATGAAGATTCTAAACCTATGCTGTCCAATGTGGTAACCACAACCCCACATGTGGCTTCTGAGCAAATGAAGTATGGTTAGTGTCACATGTTCAAGTGAGGATTATTTTGGAAATACTGGGTTAAGTAAAATGAATTATTAAAATTAATTTCCCACTGTTTACTTTTTAAAATGTGACTACTAGAAAACTTAAAATGAAGTTTAACTTAAAATTAACCTACAATGTTTAAGTAAAAACATTACAAAGAGAAGCAGGAGGTGGTTACCAGGAAAATCAAGATAAAGTATTATCCGAAGCAGGCAGAGTGTGACTGTGTTTGGGAGGGAGCTTGTGGTGGGCTTCTAGGGTAGTGGCTCTCCAAGTTCCATTTGCTAATAAGATGACTTTATCTTATTCATTAAATTGTATATTTTGTACTCTTTTCTGTTATTTTAATAACATTTTTAAATTATTTTGAAAGCAAAATTTACTATCTCTCAATCTTGAATCTGAAAATGACACTCATCAGTACGTATCTGGTGCTCCTGGTCCTATACATGTGAAGTGATTCTAGGGTACACACTAGGCAAATTAAGACTCTAAAAGGATTCTTCTAGAGTCCAGAAACTCTGGGGACTGATTCCTCTGAACCACAAAGAGAAACAGTACAGCCTGGCTGTGAAGACTGTAAACTCTGGAACCAACTGTGCAACTGTGTCTGCTAACTATGCAACTCTGAAAAGTTACTTTAATTTTCTGTGTTCGTTTCCTACTATATCACATAGGGTTTCTACCTCATGAGGGTATTGTGAAGACCAAACACTTCTTATATGTAAACCTCTTAAAACAGGCTGAGAAAAATTACATACTTAAAGTAGGTGCTCCTTATTGTTATTATTTCTACTCCCAAAAAGATACAGACCCTTAGATTTAAAATTGCTATTATGCAAAGTCAGCCTATATACTCATCCAGAGGATAGAGAGAGTCAAATAGCCTTCTTAACAGATGCTATACTTGAAAGTCAAAAATTCCAGGCAACTCCTCCCCCCATGACTGGCTGCTATGAGCAAAAAAGGTATGTTACCCCTTAACGTAGATTTGGTTTTCCCTTCTAACGTGGCTCCCATTTCCTTTTTTCTTTTAAAAAAAAGAATTTATTTGACAGAGAGAAAGAGAACACAAGCGCACAAGCAGGAGGAAGGGCAGAGAGAGAGGGAGAAGCAGGCTCCACGCTGAGCAGGAACCCTGTGATCATGATCTGAGCCGAAGGCAGATGCTTAACCGACTGAGCCACCCAGGCACCCTCCCATGTCTTCTTTGACTCTTCTTTTAACCGCTGCTAATATAACAGAAAATCATGGTCTGGTTAAGAAAGAAATATAAGGACACTGAGATGGGTCATATTAAACTTTATCTAGCCCAGAATTAAGCATCAATTTGGCAAAAAGGATCTTAACAAGAGAATCAACACTCCCCAAAGAAATCCTTAAAATGTCAGAAGAGAGGACTATATCCATGTACTTTAAATACTAAAGGCTAACTTACCTGTTCATCTGAAGCTAGATTAGTGAACAGTGGAACAATTTCACTTTTCACACTGTCTAATTCCAAAACTTTTGCAAATTCACCCAGTTTGGAAGCAGCAGCACGTCGTACCATTGGAGTGTCATCTGAGCACAAGGAACGGAAGTGCCTGGGGCAAACAAAATAATGAAGGTATTTCCTTTCAAATACCATGGATTAAACACCCCCCAACACACACACACACACACACACACACACACACACATACCTAAATACACACACACACACACACACAGAGCCATTTTAGAGGTTTTCTCTTACAAACATCAGTGCTTAGGCTTTGACTCACAAAAGAAACAAGTACAAACAAAACCACTAGTATATTCAACTTAATGATAAAAAGTCATGTTACCACATCTGCTATCCTATCAGCCACTCACTGGTAACAGGGTATTATTGTGTAAATTGTCAGCTATGACTTCCCAGTAATCCCAAATAACTGAGAAAACATCATATCTTACTGTCTAATCTCTGCCTTGACAGCATTTGAAGCCCTGGGATAGCAAACGCTGAACAAACCACATGCAGATGTGCGAGAAGTGAACCAATCACCACTCGCCAGGCGTTTCACCAGAGGTACAAAATGTGCTTCCAAAGCAACAGGAGTATGCTCCTGGGAGATCTGCCTCAGGGACTCCACAGCCTTGTCTCGAACCACAGTCTCTTCCACAGTTGCCAAACTTTCCAAAGGAGGCTGAATAGATCAAAAAGGAAAATCAGAGAAGAAAACTTACTGAATCAGGTTAGCTACACATTATCACCTTTTAAAGTGACTGAAGGGAGGTGGTACATGTAACCAGAATGTTAGCTACATCACACCAAATGGTTACTTTCAGTTCACACAGTGATAACATATGGTGCGTCCAACCTGAAGACACGACTTCTGTAGGACAGCCAAGATCTCATGTCCCAGATGGCAATTCCCAGATGGTGTCTACAAATGACACAGTGGAGACTTGACACAATATTAATATTACCATGAGCTGAATGACTAGGTTTAAAAGATATGTAGCCAAATTCAGATAAGATCATGTTTATTTCCTCAAGAGTGAGTGCAGAAACATGAGCAACGCTGAGCACCACAATTACATGATGACATCCCAGCAGGTCACTGACCTACAGTCTCTGGAGTATTATTTGACCATTCCTGGAAATGCAGGCAACCCTTGTGCACTAGAGCCACACCATCAACTTATCTAACATATGAAAGAATACATCCAGAATCTTGTGAGGAAGATACAAAGCAGGAGTTGGAGAACAATGGAGAGTATAGACCTGGTAGGAACCATTGTCTACAGCTGCAGAGACCAGGAGGGTAGGTCTGGACTAGGATGAGTAAGTGAATGTGACACAGCCCCATGAAAAGAGCAAGAGGGCTGGTCCTCTGAACCTCAACCTGGGTTTGCATCTGAGCTAGGTATATTCAGCATATGCCATGAGCTGCAAATATTCAACACAAAATCCACATACAGAACTGACCAAGAGATGAAACAGAATTATGAATCAAAGGAAAGTGTGTCTACCTAATAATACATTTCAAAAATCATTTGATACACAGAAGAAGAAAGTACTGAGCTTTCCTAAAAGGTATTTCACAAGCCATTTGAGAAGATACTGTGTTCTTACTCACTTGTGACTGCCTCACGATCTACCATTGCCTTCCCCAAGCTCCTCTCGTATAGCATCACTGGATAGTCTCTGTCACCACTATACACTAAGGCCAACCTCCTGACAATCAACGAGGAGTTTTCTCTGAATCTGAACTCTGCCTGTTTCTCCCGGCTCTCTTCCTGTGGCCTCCCCTACCATCCTTCGTATGCCGGCTCAACATCCAGCAAGGCAACCTGTTTCACACTTTGAAACCCCTGAATCAATGAATAATTACTGCTATACTGTAGCACTGAGGACAGAGAAAAAACAAGGCAGACAGGATCCTTGCTCTAGGGGGCTCTACAGTCTAGTGGAGGAAGATAACCGATCAAGAAAACAATCATATGGTGAGAAGTACTCTGTGAAGAAACAGAATAGGATGATGTGGTAAGGGGATGACTAGGAGGCAATTTCAGGTTAGGCATTCACGGAAGGCCTCTCTGAGAAGATGCACTGAAGTTGGTTCTGAATGACAAGGAACTAGCCACCAGAAGCTCAAAGAACAGCAGAAGGAATACCTAGGCCAATAATAAGGCAATAATAAGCTTGGTTTCTTCAAAGAACAAAAACACCACCACTATAAATAGAATGAAGTTCTCAAGAGGAACATGACATGAGATAAATTCACACAGATAGTTTGTCCCTTAATTTACAAAACCTAAGGCAGGAATTTGGATTTTCAAAGAGCTGAGACCGGAAATATCCACTTGCTGGGTGAAGAGCGAACCAGAAGGATTGGGTAGAAGGCAACTGTCAAGATGTTACTGGAGTAATCTAGAGGAAAGATTTTGAGATTTGGGGAGAGGAAAGGAAAGAAGAGCTAGGTAATAGTGGGGAAGAAGGAAAGTGAACTGATTTGGAATATGTACAGAAGCCATAGGAATTACTAATGGATTGAATGTGGGAAATGAGGGAAAGAGGATGCAAGAATGTCTTCTAGGTTTTGGGTTGTCCAAGGGGGTAGACAGTGATGCCATTTACTGAGATGGGCCCACAAAATGAGAGCCATACTGTAGGGAGAAAATTGAGTTCTGTTTCAGGCATGTTAAATTTGAAATGCCTGTTTGACATACAAGTGAGAAAATCATAGGCAGATATGTAGAAAGATATAAGCAGTATTTATACCCACGGAAAGGTCAGAGGTAGAAATAGAAATCAGAAATCAGCATCATATAGACAGTATTTAAGCCATGAAGCAAACACCACTATTTGGTCCAACTGCTGAATTCCTAGTCATCCTTCAAAACCTAGTTCAGACATCATCTCCCAAGAGGTTTTCTCCTTTCTACTATTTAGGTACCTTCTATGTGCTTCTATCTTTCCATCTAACACTGTACAGTAATTACTTGTTGACACAGAAGGGCAGAGACCTCATTCCATTCACACTGGTGAACACTCTGACATCAGGGCCTGATACAGTAGGCTCTCAGTAAATGTCAGCCACTGTGAACCCAACTCCTCAAATTCAGTCAGTCAGAAGCAAGCCGTAGACTTACAATCAAAGATAAAAAGCTAATGGACATTTCCAGGGAAGCTGACTAGTTCAGTCTGTAGAGCATGTGGTTCTTAATCTTAGGGTTGTGAGTTTGAGCCCCCAGGCTGGGTGTATAGATTAAATAAATAAAAACTTTAAAAAAAAAGAGAGAAGCTAACATTTCCAGAATCATGACACTATAAGAATTAAGATCTCCAATTTTAGAGTGGTGAGGGGGAGAACTCCTAAAAACAATCAAACCTTTTTTCTCCCAAACTCTAACAAGTCCACAGAGGCAGAAAAGAAAAAAAAAAAAAAGAAATCTTATGCTCACAGTCAGAAAGAGAAAGGGTTAATTGAGTCCAAAGTGCCTACATTATTGTTTTCTCAATAGCCAATACTGTCACAATCCATTAAAAAAAAAAAGTCTGCATTAAAAATGCTGTAGTGGGGTATCCCTGGGTGGCTCAGCAGTTTAGCTCTGCCTTCAGCCCAGGGTGTGATTCTGGAGTCCCAGGATGGAGTCCCACATCAGGCTCCCTGCATGGAGCCTACTTCTCCCTCTGCCTGTGTCTCTGCCCCCCCCCCCCCTCTCTCTCTCTCTCTCTATCATTAATAAATAAAATATTTAAAAAAAAATGCTGTAGTGTTCCCATCACCACACAATGTATTGTTTATACTGGAGAAGCTCTAGAAGAATGGCAGGCAGACCGTACTTACCAGCAAACAGTGGGCAAAGTCAGGACCTCCCACCAGGCCAGTGAAATTTCCCAGTTGCTCAGCAAGAGCTAACAGTACCTCATCTTCATCATAAATTGTATCTGGAAATGACAACAACCCAATACTCATCAACAAGGATAGCTGGCCCAAAGCGGGATACTCACACAAAACTATAAACCCTCCATGTCTAACTAGATGGTCCTGTCGATCCTAACAGCATTCTGGATCCACTTTACACAATGAGTTAGAAATTGACAATCTTGTATCAATTACCTTCCCCTTAGCTAAACAGTCACTATCTTAATATATCTGGCCACAAGTTTTAGTACTTAGAGCATGTGTAACAAATTCTAAAAAAGAGTCAAAATATTGAAAGCCATTGGAAAATGGAAACGGGGGCAGCCCCGGTGGCGCAGAGGTTTAGCGCCGCCTGCAGCCCAGGGCCTGATCCTGGAGACCCGGGATCGAGTCCCACGTCAGGCTCCCTGCATGGAGCCTGCTTCTCCCTCTGCCTGTGTCTCTGCTACTCTCTCTCTCTCTCTCTCTCTCTCTCTCTCTCTCCCCATCTCTATGAATGAATAAATAAATAAAATCTTAAAAAAAAAAAAAGGAAAATGGAAACGGCCATGCCTTTTCTTTAAACAAAACATTCCCATACCCGTAAGGAATGGCAGCAGTTCTGTTCGCGTCCTTTCGACTCCAAGCGCTAGAGCAATTGTTGATAACTTCTTAATACTGTTGAGACGGAGCTGTGAGAAGAAGAAAGCGGAAAGCATGAAGCGCACAACTGTGATTTAGACCAAAAGATGAAAAGTGACAAACAAGTGAGATAACGACATGCTCAGTGACAATGAGGGAAACCCTCCACTTAGATCTTATTCTGTGAGGAACCTCGGGAGCAGTGCAACACAGCTTCACTTTAGCCAGAGGAAGGTTTCTCAAGAGCAACACTCAAAGGGCCCCTCAGAAAAAGGAAAAAGAGCACAACATCCAGGAAGTGAGACAACTTCCACACACACTGCCGCGGCGGCGGCGGGGAAGCAGGTGAAACGGCTGGAGACAACCCTTGCCCTCCCAGAAAGAAGTCAGGCCAGAGCGAACACACCGACTCCTCTCGGTTAACAAGCCGCCTCACTCTTTCCGCCCAACAAGCCAGGCCGGTTTCCAGGCCGCGGGGAAGGCTCCATCCACCCGCAGCTCGGCCGCGCCGCCCTCCGCCCGCCCGGCCGGCCGGGACGCGCGTTCCCCTCGCACCGCCCGGAAGGGGCGCCCGGCGGGAAGCCGGTGCTCGCACAACCGCCGGGATCGCGGGGACGCCTCAGGCGCCGAGAGGAGGGGAGCTGGAGACGTCCAGAGGAAAGTCGGGTCGAGTCAGCGCAGCTCCTCGGGGGTCTTTATCTTCCTCCCCATCAAATTTCTGCTCCGAGGCGGGCTCTTCCAGTCCCCCGGCCTCCCCCACCGCGGAGCCGACCTTGCTCCTTCCCCACCACACGCCCGGCCGGGCCCGCCTCCACTCCCCGGCCCCATTCCAGTACCTGCACGTCCTCATTGCGGAGCTCGTCGATTAAAACCGCGATCGGGTATAGCGAATCGTCTCCATCTCCTCCCGCTGCCCCCGGGCCGGTCCCGGGCCCCGCTGCGCCCGCCATGTTCTTTCTCCTCCGGCTGGTCGCCGCCGCCCGCCCCGCGCCCAGGCCCCGCCCCGCGCCCAGGCCCCGCCCCGCGCCCAGGCCCCGCCCCGCGCCCAGGCCCCGCCCCGCGCCCAGGCCCCGCCCCGCGCCCAGGCCCGCGCGGCTGAGGACCGCGCTCCCACCCGGCGGAGGCGGGGCGGCTGAGCCTCTACCCCGCTGGCGGAGGTACCCGCGCGGACCCGGCTGCGGGAGCTGCACGTTTGAACTCCAGAAGAAGGGTGGGCTGAGAAAGCGAATGGAGCCCCCGCATCCTTTACGCAACCGAAAGAAACAGGGGCAGGAATTCATTCTGCTCATGATGGGCCGCAGGGGTCAGGGACCTACCTGAGTGATGCGAACTGTGCTCCTGGGACTCTGGCGGACCAAAGAGGATGCCCAAGGCCAGGAGGAAAACAAATTTAGCGCCTCCCCTGACTTCATCCTGGCCCTGAGCCACTGGGTTTCCAGGCCAACTTCCCCCGCTAGCCTCAAGCTTCCCCAGAACCCCCACCCCCACCCCCCACCTCTTCCTCTGGCCTGGGAGCCAGAATTGTATCTGGCTTCTGCTCCGTAAGACAAATAACGCGGGCGGTGAGAGAAAATGAACACTGCTGTCCAAACTCCCCAGTCAATATTTTTTCCGCTTTTTCCATGCAAGCTGTTAAAAACATGCTGCTCTCTTGTTTTTGTGTTTCTTTTCAGTTTGGTACTGGAATGGTGCCTTCTGTTGTTTTTTCTTCCTCCCTCTTTTAGGTCTTTAGCATGCTACAAGCACAACAATCAAGCAAAACTAGGACAAGCTTTAATCCTTCCAAATTGGGTGGAGTGGCTACTTTGCTTGTACGAGAGAGGCTAAACTGGCCTCCCTAGAACTCTAGAGTCCTCAAAGGCACCAGGAGGAAGAGGTGAGGGGCCTGGAGTTGTTTCTTTCAAAACTTAATGGAAAGTTTTCCTTTACCCTTCTGAGGCAGCACAGAACAACTAGAATGGCCCCTCTTTTTTTGTTTTGGGACTATAATTTAAGCAGTTTATACTGATAAACTACATAGTGATCACAAGCTCCAAAAGTAATTGTAGATCTAATTAATAAACATTATTAATAAACGCAATTCAGGAGACATTTTAAACATGGAATTCATAGGAAAAAAAAAAAACAATAGATAGAACCTTTGGTAGGTGTGAAAGTTTGGGAACCACTGGACCTGAACAGTAGCTCTCAAATTAAGTCTGTGGATGTCTTCTGTATGGCTTCAGTTTGGTTTTCATTTTGGTAATAATTTTTAGATTTATATAAGCATATTCTGGACTATATGGATGATCACTTTATAACCAGTATTGCCATACTATTTCAAGACTCGGGGTTGCGTGTGTGTGCTTTTACCCTTTTAGGATAAAGAAAAAAGAACAGAAGTGGATTTAAAATGAAAATGGTATTTTCATGCATAAAATGAAAGCCACATGACATCATGGAAATGCACTGTCGCAGCATTTCCAAGAGTGAGAAAACAGGTATTACAGGTCACTTGGTGGCAGAGGCACGTTCACCTCAAAAGAAGCTGAGCATTCACAGTCAACACCTGGGTCACAATACAGGGAATAATTCAGTATCTTGTCTTTGATTTGTAGCTCTATTTTGTTTTTTGTTTTTTGTTTTTTAGTGTATAAGAACTATAAATAAAAGAACATTATATTCCTCCTTTATATTTGCAAGTTTAAATAACATTGTAATAAAAATAATTTAAGTTGCCTGAGAGTTTTCACAATTTTTTTTTCCTTTAAATGGATCCAAATAACACTCAAGGTTGGATTTTGTACTTTACCAGTTAGAAGATCAGAGGGGGTTCCTATTGGCATGGGAAGGAGAAATCTGTTCCCTTAGACTTGATGTAAAAAGTCTTCAGAAATGGTGGAGGAAGCAAGCAGAGAGAAGCACATTAAGTCAGTTCCACGCATATCATCATCTACATGTTAGCTCAAGCTCAGATGAGCCTCACTTTGAACAAAAATAAGCACACTGATTAATGCTAAGCTATTTTGTTTAAAACTCGGATATGCTTTCCTTACCCAAGCACAATGAACTGGATACCTAAGAAATAACTATGATTAAATATGAAGTCACAAGCTGAAAAAAGTAGGTGCCAAAAAATTGCCTGGTTTGAGAGTCATCAATTCTAGACTTCAATTCTGACCTCTCTGACTCACTGTGATCTAACTCTCTCCCTATATACCTCAATCCTACCTCCCACCCCCTCACTCCTAATAAAACAGAGTTAACCACTTCTGGGTCCCTCTCTAGTTACTGTGATGATTGTGAAAATGGAACAGTTAGTAAACATGGAGATGCTAATAAATCCTTCAATAAAGAAACTAATTAAAACAGACTACAGCAGAAAGAGGCTATTTCATAAACTGGGCCAAATGGAAACTGGAACAAAATCTAAGTCTTTTGGGGAGTGTGACCCACAGACTGTCTAAATGACCTAAGATGCACGTTGAAAAATGCAGATTCCTGGCCTGCACCCTAGATTCAATGAATCCAAACCCAGAGAGTAGGGCAGGGCATGTTACTGGGTACCCCTGTGATTCTAACGTACAATGATATTTCAAAGTCATTGATTTAAAACCATCTGGAAAATAATTTCCATGTCAATAAGCAGCTGTTCAGGAAGAGTCTGAAGAGTCTCTGGAGGCCACCTCTTGAAGAGAAGAAGTAAATGACAGCTAAAACTGCTTGTCAATTGTCAATAAGTAATTCTGTCCCTAGACAGCTAAAACTGCTTATCAATAAGTATTTCTGTCTCTACTGGCTATGGTTTTTGCCAAATTAAACTGATCCCTCTTTTGCCGGACTTCTGGAATTCAGCTAAGTTCTTACAAATACAGCACTGTCATTCTGAGCTGCTGCTACACGCTCTTCCTCTGTATTGCGCTCCTCTGGTCTCTTCCCCACACCTCCACCCCACCCCTACACACACATGCACACAAGAAACTAGTGACCAGGGAGCACCAGAAGCAACAACTGAGGTTAGGCTGGGAGTTTAAAGCAACACTTGGGAAACAGTGTAACAGTCTCAGCACAAAAGCCCTGAGTTCTGACACCCACATCCAGTCCACTCATCTAGTGAATCAAGGAAGATAGGGTCAAACTTGTCCTATTCCTGTCACACAAAGCTTCAAGAATATGGAGAAGCACAAGCAGATGGGATCAATAGACATCAAGTCCTGTTCTTATAACGGCTCCCAGTGTCACAGCAGAAAAAACGGGTCAGCCTAAGGAAGTCTAAAGGACATCACTGTCATGCTCTCTGGCCTCTTGCCTCATATTTATTCAGTTCGCCTCTTCCTTACCATCCACAGGGCTTTACAAAACAAATGCTCATTCAAGCTGATCTGCTCTAGAGCCACCCCCTCCCCACCAGAAAGAGAAGGCCAAGTGCAAGACACCTGTATGCAGGTGGTTCTTTCAAGGGCAGACCCAGAAGCATCCCACTGAAAAGGCAACCAAGAAATAATACATGAAAAAAAATTTAATTAAAAAAAAAAAAAGTGGTCGGGATCCCTGGGTGGCTCAGTGGTTTAGCGCCTACCTTTGTCCGAGGGTGTGATCCTGGGGTCCCGGGATCGAGTCCCACATCGGGCTCCTGCATGGAGCCTGCTTCTCCCTCTGCCTGTGTCTCTGCCTCTCTCTGTGTCTCTAATGAATAAATAAAATCTAAAAAAAAAATAAATTAAAATTAAAATTTTTTAAAAAAGTGGTAGATGGTCCAGTTCACACACAGAAAACCTGAGGTACAGGCCGGCATTTCCCAACTATCTTCATTTAGCAAGATGACCCTGGTAAATGGATTCCCAGGTCTGTACCTAATTCATTGCAAAGCAGTAATTATCACCATTGCATTAATGATATTTTGAATTTATATTTATACAAAGACTGTCTTAAATCCTGTGGAACTCAAATATTTTCACCTCAAAATTTTAATTGCATTTTACAACTGAATTGCATAAAGAAGAAGAGGCCTTGCCTAGAGTCACATAATGAATTACAATGAATGAAGAAGCTGTGAAACTCATAGTCATGGGTTTTTTTTTTAAGATTTTATTTATTCATTCATGAGAGACACAGAGAGAGAGAGAGAGAGAGAGAGAGAGGCAGAGACACAGACAGAGGGAAAAGCAGGCTCCACGCAAGAAGCCTGGTGTGGGACTCAATCCCAGGATTCTAGGATCATACCCTGAGCCTAATGCAGACACTCAACCACTGAGCCACCCAGGTGTCCCCATAGTCATGGATTATTACTACTCCTTGCTTCATCCTCTACCTCCATGCTACAGTTTATCACTTGATATAAAAAAGGTGTTGGATTTCCAGAGCAAAACTTCTCTTGAATTCTTGAGAAGCACAAATCAAAGAAATGAAACAGCCAGTTCCGATTCAGGGCAGTCCACAGAGAAGTTAAAATAGGGGCAACTGGAAATAGTGAAAGGGAATAAAGGGGAAAGGAGAGAAAATGAGTGAAAATATCAGCAAGGGTGACAAAACATGAGAGACACCTAACTCTGGGAAGCAAACATGGGGTAGTGGAAAGGGAGGTGGGCGGGGGGTTGGGGTGACTGGGTGACAGGCACTGACGGGGGCACTTGGCGGGATGAGCACTGGGTGTTATGCTATATGTTGGCAAATTGAACTCCAATAAAAAATATATATATAAAAAAATAAAATAAAATAGGGTCAACTGGGTGGCTTAGTCAGTTAGGTATCTGAGTCTTGATCTTAGCTCAGGTCTTGAGATCATGAGTTCGAACTCAGACTCATGAGTTTGCGCCCCACATTGTGCTCCACGCTAGGCATGGAGACTTAAAAACAAAAGACGGGTATACACTGGAGTCAAGATGATCTAGATTGACATCCCTGCTCTGCCAATTACGAGTTATGTGACTTTGGACAAGTAACCTACCCTCTCTAAATCTTGGTTTCTACATCTATAGAATAGAGCTATAAAGCTTACCTCATGTGGTTGTTAAGATTAAATAATGCATATGTAGTGCTTTGATTAGTACCTAACGAGAGTAAACTCTCAAATATTAGTCATTAATAGTTATCTACTGAGGAAGTAGAAGCAGGAAAGAAAACAGTCCGATCAACAGAGCTTTGGCAACAGACTGCCAGAATGAAAAGATGAAAGGAGTATATGACTTATAGAAGACATAACTCAAGGCCTTCCAGAAGGTTTTTCTCATTGGCAAAATAGGGGCAAATCCCAGCTGAGGTCTCATGAGGCTCTTGTGAGGAATACTATCCACAATGGAAAGTACTTTGTAAAGGAAAAGTGTGGCACAAATGTTAGAGGTTATTGATCATCAAGCACTCACTGAGCTGGAGCCCATAGCAAACAAAAGAAAAGAACATTTAGATACCTGTGCTCTGGGTGTGCAGGCTCCCACATCCCCCAGAACAGCAGCCAGATCGAGTACTTCCTCCAACCTCAAGGGCAGGTTTAAGTACAACAGACCCCAAGGTCAAACCATCATGGGGGCTTTTCTCCAAAGTCTGAGGTGTTCAGGTTCTATTATGGGCTCTGACATTCTCAGGACAGACCCCTGGTTATCTTGTCAGATGCTCTACACAGCTCAACAAAAACTCTTGGTTACAAAACAAACAAACAAAAAAAAACAAACTTCTTGTTACAGCGTTAAATGCAAAAGCAAGGTACACAGTGTTATTGAAGTTGTGGCCACTTAAACAGAAAATGCTCGGAAATAATAGATTGCTCCTAAACAGGCAGTATTAAAATATCTTAAGATTGAAAAAAAAAAAAGCAAGTGCCAGAACAGTGTACACAGTATCTTATCAAAGTAGAATACACACACGTGCTTGTATAAGCATTAAAAATAATTTTTTAAAGTTTCTAGAACATATATGAATCACATTGGTTGGTTATGGAAAGATAACAGGGTACTGGGGAACAGGATAGAAGGGAGATTTTTCAGTGTTCAATATACCCATCTGAACTTTTGTTTTTTTTAACATATACTATATTCCAGATTTTACATGAATTTCACCCATTTTTCTGTCTTTTATCTGTTTCAGGACCCAACCTGGGATACCAATATCCAAGATATTTATACTTTTTGAATTCTGAACCATGAAAATTCTTACATATTCAAACAAACCAGCCTTTTGGCTCTTGGTTAGTTACCACACTATAGACTAGACTCTGCCTCTCCCTGGTTGGTTTTCCCCATGGTATCCATAGAGATGTATAAAAGCCCTCTCCTGCCAGATATTCCTTGTCTAGCCTGGCTATGTCCACAGAGTCCGGATTCTGTCTTTATTTTTATAAGCCTTTACCACCTGTCTCACACCAGACCCAACCAATGTAAGTAGTTTTCAGCATGGAGGTACACTGTTCCCAGGTTCCAGCTAGACAGAGGTTTGATTTAGCAAAAACAGACTACTTAAAATATTCCTTGTTCCCTAGAAGCTTTTTCCTGTAGTGTCCCCTGGAAATAGTATTTTCCCCACTTCCTTTCCTGATCTTCCCAGCAGAACTATCAGGAAAAAGGTCAGAAGAATAAGAAAGAACCAGTGCCAAGACCCCCTGGCCATGCCACTCACATCTCAGCAGAAATTCAGCTGGGACTGTAATCAGAAACCGGAATTTCCACTAACTTCTAGGACTTCAGGAAACCAGCTCCCTTTCTGATCTAGCCGTGTGATTAAAATTAGCTGGGCCACACAGTGTTCTAAAAAAAGCCCCTAGAAAGACTCACTCTTACTAGGACAGCCTCCAGGCTGTGGTTCCTAGAGGCAGATTTAGAAGGTGGTAAAATGACTGAACCGACTTTGACTAAGTCACGTTCTTATCTCTGCCTGTCTAATCATTCCAGACACTTCAACATAATATCCAAAAAGGAGCTAGAGGGCTCTGGACTCCAAAGAGGTCTTGAAATAGGGAGTATGAAGTCATGGTTAAGAGGACTTGAATCCCAGGCTTGCAATTTCCTACCTAGGTGATCTTGGGCAAGATGTATAACATCTCTTGACATCAGATTAAGAAGATAATAATAGTTATCAAACTCGTAATGTTGTTGTAAGGATTATGTGAGAAAAAAGCAACTTGAAACATTCGTGATATATAGTAAATGCTTAAAAGATGTTAGCTATTATTTGTATTTGCAGAGCAAATCTCACCATCTAGAGGGTGTAAAAAGAAAAAAGTGAAAGAAAAAAAAATACTAAAAAACCCCCATGCTCTGCTCGATAGCACCTATACTAAAATTGGAACAATACAGAGAAGATTAGCATGGCCTCTCACAAGGATGACGTGCAAAATTGTGAAGCATTCTATAATTTAAAAACAACAAAAGGGGGCACTTGGGTGGCTTAGTCTGTTAAGAGTATGACTTCAGCTTAGATAACAGTCCTGGGATCCTGAGCTCCAACCCCACATTGGGCTCCCTGCTTAGCAGGGAGTCTGCTTCTTCCTTTCCCTCTCCATGCAACCCTCCACCCCCTGCTCATACTCTCACTTTCTAGCTCTACCTCTCTCAAGTAAATAAGAAATCTTAAAAATAACAATGCACTTCCCATATAGTTCTAAGATTGAGTTCAAAAGAGGTTATCAGGCGTCACACAGATAAAGAAGGAAATCTCCTATATCAAAGAGCTAAAACTTGTCTGGTCCTCAAAGCCTGTCTGCCTAGGTGGGTACCCTATAAATGTAAATCATCTGCAAATATTATCTTTTCATTCCGTGATCTGCACAGGAGGAGCAATCAGAGGTATTCTAAAGCTGTTACTTTACAGGGACACAGCTCCTGCTAAGTGCTAGTACTTTTCTTCAGCTACTGTGCTGGGGATAATGTGTGGCCATTTGATGGAGGGGAATGCCCTGCCCATTCACATATCCTTTGGGTTGCCTTTGACAATATCAGTAAGTGAGCAGATGCAAAGTCAAGATTGTGTGTAGGATGCAGTTTGCTCCTGTTTGGAAACCTTAACAATGGGCAATCGGCAGGTAATTAAACCTGAAAGTAGTTGCTTCCCCCTCTCAACCAAATACATGCCTTTTGTTACCTCTGAATAACATGGAGGTCATGTTAAAGAGAACTGAAATTAACTGAGAACTGACCTGAGGATCATTTCCCAACCAGGGAATCACTGTTGCAATGGATGATGCATTCTCCCATAAATCATGAGCATGGTTTTCTCCTGGAAATTTTCACAATTTCAACAACGTAACGGTGAAATGTAGGGATGATACAGATTCTAAGGAAATGTAGGAATTTCCATTTACACTGGAATTTATACACCAAGAATACAGCAAATACTGAAACAGATTAGTTTCCTGGAAGCAAAGGAGCTGTGAAATTTTCAGTGAGAATGGGCTGCCCTCTGCTGGGCATTTAGGGAAGTTTCTAGGAGGGCACTGGACAGGGCTGCCTCCACAAGTTTTCAGAAAACAGTGATAGTTGGAAGTAAAACAAAAAACAAAACCAAAAATTAAAAAAAAAAAAAACATGACAACAATTTTAAACTTTGGTGTTATTTTTTAGAATATCTCCTGTAATCACAGACTGTGAAAACACAATTATAGAAAAGGCCCACGGGGAAGGGGATGAGTTTTAAAAACACTTTGAGATTCTTTCATAAATGTAGCACCGTAGGGATCCCTGGGTGGCGCAGCGGTTTGGCGCCTGCCTTTGGCCCAGGGCGCGATCCTGGAGACCCAGGATTGAATCCCATGTTGGGCTCACGGTGCATGGAGCCTGCTTCTCCCTCTGCCTATGTCTCTGCCTCTCTCTCTCTCTCTCTCTCTCTGTGACTATAAGTAAATTAAATAAATAAATAAATAAATAAATAAATAAATAAATAAATAAATAAATAAATAAATAAATAAAGTAGCACCGTAAAACCAGCCTCTTTGCTACACAGCTCCACAAATATTTTACTGGCAAGAAAAAAAAAATGAGAATGTATTCTCAGAAATACCAGGGAGGCTTAGAGACATTTTCTTAATAGAGGCAAGAAAGAAGCAAGTCTAACTGCTGAATGATACATGGCGTTTTCTTGTTGGTTGAGTGGGCACATTTCAGGTCATTTCTCTCAAAATGAGATTAACCTTTGCTCTCATGTCTGTGTGTGCATGTGGGGGGAGGCAGGTAGGGAAGCACAGCTCCAGAGAAGCTCTGCAGCATACCATAGCAGAGCAACAAAAGGGGAAGTCCTTAGTGCACATGTCTCAGAGTGACGCATATGAGATCTACAAAGTAGGCTCACCCAGCAAGTCCTGCACAGGGGTCATGAAAGCCACAGGTTCTTACCTGAGCAGGCCAAGCAGTGCTGATCATTATGGTCTGATCTTAAAGACCAGGCAGCTTTCCTCAAGGCTGGATCTGCCTACTCAAACATTCTTCTCAATCAACCAATAAAATGGCACTTAGATGGGTCTGAAATTGTCAGAATAAAGTCATTTCTCTTTTCCAGATGTGTTACCATTCAAATGTGCTGAATCAATGGGAAGAGAACTACAGTAAATTATTAACATCCATTAGTGTACATCAGTACCATATTAGTTAATTGTTTCCCAGAAAGTCGGACCCAGGGAGAGAATGGATAATAAGGGCAGGTAAGTGTGATAGTAAAAAAAAAAAAAAAAAAAACACAAAACAAGACAAAAAAAAAAAAAACAGAAAATGCCGGCAGGTGGTGGTGGTGGCAAGAGGTGTGGATGGAAGCCTGCATAGCCAGGGATTGTAACCGGAAAAGACCACCAAACATTTTGCCTATTTAATTATCTGGGATCTCTGGCATGATTGTTTGCCTTCCAGTCTCTTAATATAGATGGCAGTGGACATAAAATCACATAGAAAGTTGTTTTTTGGGCAGCCTGGGTGGCTTGGCAGTTTAGCGCCAACTTCGGCCCAGGGTCTGATCCTGGAGACCCGGGATGGAGCCCCATGTTGGGCTCCCTGCATGGAGCCTGCTTCTCCCTCTGTCTTTGTCTCTGCCTCTCTCCCTCTCCCTCTCTCTCTGTCTCTCATGAATAAATAAATAGAATCTTTAAATAAATTAAATTTTAAAAAAATAAAGTTGTTTTTTTTTAATGATGTCAGGGCCCACCTGCAGCCACTAACTCAGAATTCTTTAAGGGGGTTTGGGGGTTCAAGCAGATAGTGACAGTTTTGTAAAGGGTCCCCAGTTGAGTCACTTGTGCAGCTCTGGTTGAGAATCACTACTCTATAGGTCATGTTTTCTCCAGCACTGAGTGTGATGCTGCTGGAGCAGCTAGCAAACAGACCAGAAAACATACCCTTCTCACTTGGCAATTTGAGATTCAGGAGCTAAAATGGCAAATACAGGACAATAGCACCAGTTGTCAAACACTAGCTCTGCAGGCAATGAAGGTCAAAGAGAACCCTCCTAAGGTGGGGGAACAGCTGGAACTTGTGGTTGTAGGTCTGTGAAAAACCCTTGGCGGAATTCATTTTAACTTGTTTAACATTGGAACCATCAAGAGTCAACTGTTTATACTTTTATCTCCAGGCATGTAATGACAATAAGCAGCCCAGAAACTAGAAACTAAAAACAAGAACAAAAAATCCTACCACTCCTAAATATTTCATGAAGATACCTATAGTTCACTTAAAACAATTTTTTTTGAATGCTCCTACTCAGGTAAAATGCTATTTAATCTGACTCTTAATTACATTATGAGCCATTTATGCTAAAAAAGGTCCAATAGGAATTCCCAGTCTATGTCACTCAATTTCATAACTTCATACCTTTATTTAAATTTGCCTCATTTTGTTTATCAAATCAATTAGTTATAATTTATTTCGATGTCAGATCTATGTTGAACTCCACAGCTGAAGAGAGCCAACACAGCCTTCAGTTCTAAAACATTACCTGCTAACTCGGTATTACTGAATCTGAATGTATCACTACAAAGCCATCCTGCAGTTAGACTTCCCTTTCCTAGCAGGGCTGATAGGAATGGAGCACTTATTCACACCTGGAAGGGAGGCCATCTGCCCCAAACTCATTCAAGAAGGTCTCCTAAGTCTGACCCTCCAAAATCAAATAATAGAAATATTCAATAAAAATATCAAATCTCTTTGTAGAAGGTACTCTGAGGAATCTGCTTTAATGTGAAAGCCTCTCTACTTCAGGAGAAGTCCTAAAGCATGCACAATATGGAGCCTCCTTCAAGCCTTCCAAATTGCCCTTGGGGTAGCAGAGGAATTACCGTTTTCTGTGGTCTAAAAATCTGCCAACTTGAAAGCAAAGGCTGTGTATTAGTTGTAGGTTTCTTTTTACTTTTCTTCCTCCATTGTCAACAAACGTGTATACTACCAAAATGTTCAGGGAACTGTGCTGAGCACTGAGAGGGTGACATGGGCTTTGCCACTAGATGTGTCATTGATGCTCTTGAGAGACCAGGAAGGATGACATTCTAGACAGAGAAAAGTAAATTAAGGCTGTGGACTTCTCCCTCCTGGAATTCTATTAATAAAATCCCCTTCTCGGGATCCCTGGGTGGCGCAGCGGTTTGGCGCCTGCCTTTGGTCCAGGGCGCGATCTGGAGACTCCAGATCGAATCCCACATCGGGCTCCCGGTGCATGGAGCCTGCTTCCCCGTCTGCCTGTGTCTCTGCCTCTCTCTCTCTCTCTGTGTGTGACTATCATAAAATAAATAAAAATTAAAAAAATAAATAAATAAAATCCCCTTCTCTGAAATGACTTGAAAGAAAGCAAACCCAAGTATCATGGGCATTTGGGGTCCTAAGGAAAGAAAACTGATAACCAATCATATAAAACCAGATAACTACTAAAAGTTATTGGCTATAGGTACAAGGTATGGGAATGATGTCAAATTCATTCACAAAAAAACTTTTATTGTTCCTGACAACCCCCAACAGAGGAGGAAATTGCTTAAATGTTAAATATTACCAGATCCACACTTCTATGAATGTTAAGACTGTCGTGGTCCAGAGATTTTTTTCATCCAAAACACACAGTGCATCCGGAAACTATCACTTTTTAGGCACAACACTGACATGTTGAGTAATCTTCATAATGCTTCGTTTTTCCAAAAGTACAATAAAACTAACCCTCGCAGGCTTTCACAAATAAAGGCTTCTTCCTAGAGTTTTCAGAATAAACATTCCAGACTATTTGGCCTGTGGAAGGCAGGTCTATACACTGAAGAATGAGAGCGGGGACAGATGGGAGGAGTTGAGTTTCAATCTCTGAAGATTTAAAAAAGACTACATGTAGCAAAAGAGAAAATATCACACTAAACAGGAAAGTCAAATTGCCAAGATTTATTTCTTTCTTTTACAGAAAATACAT